ATGGAGCAAGATGGGAACGTGGAAGCTAGGAAGGAAGAGGAGCGGGTTCGAAGTCAGGCGTGTGAGGACGAACTTCGAAGTCAGTTGGAGATAGCGCGGTCCGATCTTGCTCAACGGACGGAAGAGCTGGCTCAGATGACAGAGGAGCTTGCTCAGAGGACAGAGAAGCGCGATGTTTTTCGAGGTGAAGCGAAAGCTTATAAGGATGATGTTCAGAAGCTGAACGAGTGCTATGACTAGCTCAAGGAGAAATACGAAGTTGAGAAGGCGACGGGGAAGAGGTTCCTCGCGACGTCAGGTGGTGCTGCTTATAAGGAGTCCATCGTGGAGGAAACGAAGCGTGGCTTCCGAGGTAGTGCTGAGTGTGCTGCTATGATTGAGGAACATGTTTTAGCTGTGGTCTATAAGCCATTAGTTCGTGCCTGTCGCAAATACCTTCGCGAGGCGAGTGGTATCAGTGAGAGGGTCATTCGTGGGATGGAAGCTGGTATATCCGATGAAGAGGAGGATGAGGCAGATGTCCACGAGACAGGCACAGAGCTTGTGGATGACATGCTTGCTGATGATCCCGCTATGGGGGCGTCTTCCGCCCGTGGTGGGAGAGTTTAGACTGAAATTGCTAGGATAGAGAAACTCGTTTTTTATTTATTATTTGCTATAGATTTCTTAGTTTATTTTGATTGCTGACGTAGATGGGTATGTCCTCTACTATTTCGTTTGAATTTCTTCATTATTTGACCTTTGAAGTTTGATATCTTGAATTATTTATTTTGACATTGTCAAAAGTTTAATGCGTTGCTTATGTGTATTTACATTTAGCATTGCACGCGATGCACTTGAGGAGGGGATCAGTCTCCCAAGGTTTTTGTTAATGGTCGTGCCCTTTGTTCGGACCTCTTGGGTCTTAAATATATTTGTCCGTGGCCACGCTTTAAAAGTAACACCTTGTGAAACAATTAAAGGGACTTAGACAATCCAGCTGGCCAGACTATATGGATTATCTAAATCTCTCTAAGTGTTTGTAGGGTTGTATTGGCAAAAAAATTGATTTATTCAATGATAGCAAATGTGCATTATTACAAGCCTATGTATGGCGAATGGAAATAACTTGCTAATATCATAGGCCTACGTGAGGCGAAGGTAAATAACTACTACTAAATCAAATAAATTGACTTGATAAAAATTCTTCTAAGTGATTGTACTACACTTGTTCTTCTTCCACGTCTTCCTTGTACTCGTTCGTTTTGTTGTGCTGATGGTGGATTGAATTCCTTTGGCATCTCTATGCCTGCAAAGTATAGTTGAGAAGAAAAAATTTGTTTAGACACTTGTACTGAAGACTTAGTAATTGAAGCTGGGGTGATGTGCACTGCGATTTCACGTACCCTACTACGGGGATTGTTTTTCTTCCTCGCACTCCGAGATATGGAATCAACTCGTGAGTTGCTGTGATTTGTTGTGTGATCATGCCTGTTAGATGGAATGATTTTATCACGTTAGTATGAATATTGAAGAGCATGCGTGTGATGTATTCTAGTGGAAGTATTGTTACCCTTGGCGATGTGGTATGAAGTGTCTTCGCTCTTTGGGCCATTGATTGAGTAATATGCATCCCTTCGTAATTGGTTCTCAATCTGTAAGAAGATGATGAGATGTGATTATGAATTGCTGATGTAAGTAAAATTACTAGCCCCCCAGTTTAGGTGGGATGTTTACGCACCTCGTTATGCAGTAGAAAGTTTCCAAGCATGTAGAGACAGTTTTGCGAGACGAGGGACGTGGAAGGTCGCGGAGCCTGCAGGGGTAACAATTTGTAAGTAACTTTCATATAGGAGGGATATGGGTGGTGACTTCAACGGATCTTAAGTAAGGTACATGTATACCTTAAGCGTAGAACCGTTTGAGGTTCACTATATTCCATCTTCTGGGTATAGGGTGTTCGTCAGTGTTCTCGAGGCGATATGCTCCAGTGTTGACCACTTTGTGATTTTATATGGTCCTTCCCACTTTGGATCGAGCTTACCAATGGAGTGAGAGGCTTCAGCTTTTCGGAGGACTAAATCTCCAACTTGAAAAGAGCGAGGGCGGACCTTTGAGTTATAGGCCTTGGCCATGCGTGATTTATACATCTGTTGCCGGATGCATGCGATCTCTCGTAGCTCATCTACGAGGTCTAGGCTTCCCCGCATAGCTTCTTCATTAGCTGCTGGATCATAGTTGGTGATTCTCCAAGATGGTTTACCGATTTCAACGGGTGCGATAGCCTCTGTGCCGAAAGTTAGATTGAAAGGCGACTCTCCGGTTGCTGCTCGTGGGGTTGTGCGATAAGCCCATAGGGCGTTAGGCAATTCTTCCACCCACTTCCCTTTGGCACTTCCAAGCCTTGTTTTAAGGTGTTGGAGTATGGTGCGATTCGTGACCTCCGTCTGGCCGTTAGCCTGTGGATTGGCTACAGATGTGAAGAACTGTTTGATGTCCAAGCCGAGGCACCAATTCTTTACTTTGTCGCCGCAAAATTGGGTTCCATTATCTGAGATAATGGAACGTGGGATCCCAAAGCGACACACGATGTTCTTCCATAGGAATTGAATGACTTCTTCTTCTCGGATGCGTGCTAAGGGTTCAGCCTCCACCCATTTGGTGAAGTAATCCACTGTTACAATGAGGAATTTGCGCCCTCCCGTGGCGGGCGGGAATGGTCCAACTAAATCCATTCCCCATTGGGCGAAAGGGATGGGGCTGTCAATCGGTTGCATTAATGCCGCTGGCAGGTGAGGGATATTGGCATGCTCTTGGCAGGGCTTACACCTCCGTACTAATTTCCTTGCGTCTTCATGCATTGTTGGCCAGTAGTAACCTTGCTTCAGTAGTTTGAGAGCTAAGGTTCTCCCGCTCATGTGATTTCCGCAGATACCTTCATGTACTTCTCGAAGTACGTAATTTGCTGTGGTCGGGTCGAGGCGCTTGAGATAGGGGAATGAGAACCCTCGTTTGTACAATTCTTCTCCCACTATGACGAAGCGAGCGGCTCTCGTTTTTAACTTCCGTGCTTCAGTGAGATCAGTTGGGAGTTCTCCCTTCTTGAGATACTTCATGATTGGAGTGAACCAGCATGGTTCATCCTCCTCGGTGTACTGTACTTCACTGGGTGAAGTTATCTCCGGTTGAGGTGAGGTGAGGAGCGTCACCTTCCGACTTCCGATGCTTGCCATGGAGCTTCCAAGCCTAGCTGATTTGTCAGCATGGATGTTACTGGAGCGAGGTACTTGTCTTATCTCGTAGCTCTCGAGTTTAGATAACAGAGTGTACGTGAGAGCCAAATATTTGGCCATGGAGTCTTCTTTGGCCTCGTAAACTCCAAGTACCTAGTTAACGACGAGCTGAGAGTCGCTTTGGATTAGGAGCTTACGCGCTCCGGCTGCTAAGGCGAGGCGGAGTCCTGCTATCAGTGCTTCATACTCAGCGACGACATTGTTTGAAGCTGTGAATTCGAATCGTTGAGCGTATTCGAATTCATCTCCGTCAGGGTTCGTTAGTACGATGTCCGCGCCACCTCCTGTGGCTGTGGAAGATCCATCAACGTTGATAGACCAGGTAGGGAAAGTTTAGATCACCTGGGGTAGTGTAGAAAACTAGCTGGGAGAGCAAAGCGTATCAGTAGCTCGATAACTTGATGATCCTGAGGTCCCTGCGAAATGAGCACACATGAACTAAGCCGGGGGTTGATCCGGCGGAAACCCCTCCGACGCTCAAATCAGATATACGGATCGTGGATGTAGTAGAGAGAATAAAACTGTAGATTATTCGTGAATAATAGAACGTACCTTTTCAAATGAGTAAAACATCTATTTATATGTCGTTGATTGGGTTGGGCTTACTTTGTTGGGCCCAAACCTTACTTTGAAGGTGCTTGGGCTTTCGTGTAGTGGGCCCAATTGCAAGTGATTGGGCTTTCGTGATTTATCTGAAAATTAGGGCCCATTCGGTCGGCCCAATTAGGTATATCACCAATGCATATTACACATAAAAGAGTTAAAATTACATCAAAAAATCGAAGCTCAACCCTTCTTCAAGCTTGATTTCGAATTTTCGATTTCGTTTTTTTTTTTTTTTTTTGCTATTTGCAGTTTGGGGGTTTTTTTGATATTTTTGAAAAGTTTTGGGGGTTTTGTGAAAAAACGCAAATAACAATTTTGTAACCGTAAATATCATTTCATTTCCCAAATTAGGTTTGTCTAAATACACTGTTACTTGCAGTGAAATGTACAAAGATTCTTCCAATTAAATACTAATGAAACAGCAGCAAATATTCCAATATACAAGTCAAACTAATTAGCTCAAGGATACTGCCAAAATAGGCCTTTTACACACACACACACATATATTTAATCTCACAATTAGAGTGGCATCTTTCTTAATCCATCGTCATCAAAGATGCTTCCCTTGGATGGATGTTAACACAAACAATCTTATAATTTGTGGTTGAATTATTAAGCAGTTAGTTGATTAATCATACATTACTATCGAATACTAGTAATTAATTAGTGCCAAGTTGAGCAATAAAAAAAGAAGAAGTTAGGGGATGATGATGTCATTAATTGTCAGATACGCCAAGAACACAGCGTGCACGATAACAAATTAACAATAATTAATTCATTATTAAACATGTTTTTAGTGTTTGGATCATCTATCGGACTTGTAATTTGCCTCCAAGTGGCGTGCTCTCACGATTTCCCAATTTTACCAATTAATTAATTATATTGACCAAGTCTCAGTACTCCAGAAATTAAAGAACAAGAGCGATGATGATGTAACAACTCCTGCTGCATTAAGCAAAAGTTAACTCTAACAAACAAACACTAAACAATTAGAGATTGATTTAACAAACAAATGTCCATCACTCTCTCTGTATATAACTACTACACACACTACTACACTAGTTATTATTAACAAGATAAACAAAAACATACACAAAACTCCTCTTTTTCCCTATATTCCAATGGAAATCCACTTTCAAGATCAGAAAGCAACAAAGATCCCATTGAGCACCAAAACATGCAAAATGAAATCAAGAAACAACAACAACAAATTCATCGGTGTGAGACAAAGACCTTCCGGAAGATGGGTTGCCGAGATTAAAGATACTACACAGAAGATTCGGATGTGGCTTGGTACTTTTGAGACCGCCGAAGAAGCTGCTCGTGCATATGACGAAGCCGCCTGCCTTCTTCGTGGCTCAAACACCCGCACAAATTTCGTCACTCACGTTTCTGCAGACTCCCCACTTGCCTCGCGGATAAAGAATATTCTCAACAGCAAGAAAATCATTAATGCAAAGGAAATCCCGAAAAGGAGCCAAGAGTCGTCTATAAGTCATCAAGATGTAATTGATAGGGATTATAGTACTACTACGACATTGACTTCCACGAGTAGTCCTGCTTATCATCATACCAACACAAGTGATGCTGCTGAGTCATTTTCATATGTTGTTGATAAGGTAAAAGATTGGAGCCAACCGATTGATGATGTTTACAAACCTGATTTGAGCACTTGTGTGGCTGAGCTTGATCCGGGGACGGCTCAGTCTGGCTTAGCATGGGATTTTGATGATTGTGTAGGAGGAGGAGGAACTGATGATCGGTTTTCATATGCTCAAGAGTTGTTGGAATTGCCTAAGAATGTGAACCTTATTATCAATGAGAATTCGGACATGGAGTTGTCGGAATTTGAGAGAATGAAGGTTGAAAGACAAATATCAGCATCGCTATATGCAATAAACGGTCTTCACGAGTACATGGAGACAGTGTATGATCCTAGTGAAGCCTTTTGGGATCTTCCTCCACTATGTCCCCTGTTAAGCTAGACTAGACTAGACCAATCATTTTCTGCTCAATGTATCATCCATCAATTTGTCTTCTTTATTAATGCTTTTTTATTTTATTTTTAGATGAGACGTTGCATTATATTTGTGGAAAATAATCATGAAACTTTTATAGTATTTCCCACTCAATTTGTGTTCCCTTGTACAATTAAAGTTTGTCAAACTCAACCGTAATTTGATATACAAGTCATATCTTCATCAATTAATCATTCTCTTGTATATATCAATACAATTGCAGATACTGATTAATCTTTTGGTTCTTTGGTTCCTTATCTCCAAATAAACCATTGAATCATCATCATCATAAGTTAGAAAAGTTATTTAGTTTCTGGTCCAAGTCCAAGTCCAACAAATCTTCAACGGTGCATAAATCATTTCTAACATGCCAAAAATCAGACAAAAAACACAAGTCTCCATCCCAATCATCAAACTAAAAGCCACATTCTCCATTCCACAAGCCACATCCTACCTAGTTGGCGGAATAGTCAGAATCAATAATTGTTCGTCGACAAGCTTTTCGATGATTAACTCGAATTTTCTTCAAAAGCCGTATATATAAACTGTAAAGGCAAAAATAAATAAATAAAAGTTTAAAAAACTAATACCAAAAAAAAAATACTTATTCTATACAAACTTTGTGCAAATTTTATTTTAATATTTGCTACAATCCATCCTAACAATTTTTATTTATTTATTTTTCAAAACTTTCCAATTGTTTGTGAATTGTTTAATGATTTTTTGAACAAAAAAATTTGTGACATATATAGTATAGTATAAGAATTTTTGTGATTTCACGATTCAAAAAGAAGTATTTAAAATATTTTAAAGGGGAACTTTAGGTTAAAATACACCATAACTAAATTATTATTATTTTCTCAAAAACTTTCCAATTGTTTATAAATATTTTAATGATTAAAATTAAACCAAAATTACAACCCACATTAATTGATTTTACAGTGAACTTCCAAATTATACAATGAACTTAACGGGCCGTTGAGTTACCATGATTTACATTCATCCATCAATCCTTGTCGGGCCAAGGGATAGGGGCCCTGGGGGCGAGGGGTTTCGCTTTTGGTGCAATAATAATAAGTAAAATAAAAAAAAAACTAAAAAAGAAAAAAGGAAAAGGAAAATGAAAATGGTTTTGTTAGTTATCGGTATCGCAGAAGAAGGATAAACATCGGGAGTTTAAGAATAGTGGAATGGGCGGCTCTATCAAAGCGGTTGCCGTCATCTCCGGCGGAGACAGCGTTAAAGGTTTCATTCAATTCATCCAAGACCCTGCTGCTGCTGCTGCTGCTGCTGGTTATTTCCTTTTTCTTTTTCTCTAACTTTTGATTGGTTGTTTGTGAGAGAGTATGATTAGATAGATACAAGTAGTGCTTTGTAGTGAAATCGGAAATTGGAGGACAGTTTCACTTAATTACTGGTTGAATTATAATGATATACACAGGAGGAGTCCATGTGAAAGGAAGAATTAGTGGTCTGAATCCGGGACTCCATGGCTTTCATATTCATGCCCTTGGTGACACCACTAATGGCTGCAATTCCACTGGTTCAATCATATCTATCTATCTATCTATATCTATATATACTCTCTCTCTCTCACTAGAACTCTCTCTCTCTAGATCTCTGTGTGTGTTGAATATATATAATATATATTCTCAACTAAACTAATTTCAGGACCTCATTTCAATCCATTAAACAAGGTCCATGGATCTCCTTTAGATGCCGAGCGTCACGCTGGTGATTTGGGAAACATTATGGCTGGCTCAGATGGTATGCAATTTGTTCTCTAATAATTCATTCATCACTCCATTAACCACCACCACCTTAACTACATTTAATTTACTTTTTTACACATTGCAAACAGGGGTTGCTCACATTAATATTGCAGATACACAGGTAATCCATCCATCCATCCATCCTTGTGAGAGTTCATCGACCAACTCATGTTTGTAATAATAAATATCTGATGATAAATGTAAATTGCATCATTTCTTATTCACAGATTCCACTAAGTGGTCAGCATTCGATTTTAGGAAGAGCTGTTGTTGTGCATGCTGATGCTGATGACCTCGGAAAAGGTATCAATCACCATTGAATTCCACCCTCATCACAAAAACTCCTTTGATTTCTTCTGTCCCTAACTCTTTATGAACCAACTCACAGGTGGACATGAACTCAGCAAGACAACAGGCAATGCGGGTGCAAGAGTTGGATGTGGTAATTAATGTATTATTATTTATTAATAAGCCTATTAGTAGAGAATAGAGATAGATACTCTGTTTCCCTTTCTATGCGGGTTTTTCATTCGTATTATTTGTGGTCTGCACTCCATGGCGGTAAGTGGTCATAATGTTATAACCAGTAGGATTTTATTTTTCAGCAGATCTTATATTTAGTTCTTGAGTATTAGTGAGGAAAATCTTTCCATAACTTTCTAGTACATGTGTTGTGTTCTGGCCTATGTATGTGATGTGCAGTGTGTAATTCTCATGCATGTACCCCTTTTTGTTTAAGAAATTTCGATCCAATGGCAGGTGAAAATTGTGTGGTCATTGCAGAAAGTGTGACTCTTGTTTCTCTGAGACATTTCTTGATTCTACATGGTATCACAATTCTCTGTGGCGGCTTACCTTTTACGGGTGTCTTTTTCTCTTCGATTCTCGACTATTGTACTACTATAAGTCTGTCTCACATTGTTTGTTGGCACTTAAATTGGTAGGCCACTGCATTCAGTTGCATTGCTTTGGGGCTAACTGCTGCTAACATGTTTGGCAGGAATCATTGGGCTTCAGTCATCGGTTTAGAAGGGCATCTGAGTTTCTACTGCAATGCAACACCTAATAATACAAGCTACTGCTGAAAGTCTTTACTTTTCTATGTTTTATTACCGGGACTTGTTGATAAGAATTCAATAGTTTGTGATATATATATATATATATATATATATATATATATATATATGTATGTATTCAATGATGCTACATTATTGCATTACCACAAGTGATTTGAGGTGTGAATGATGACATTAAATAACAAGAGCAACCTCATTCAAGTCCAAGGCAATACTGACAAGAAATAATGAATTCTAAAACCCATGAAATTAATGACATACTGGATTTAACATAGTACTTGTAAAACATAGGAATGACATCATAGGTTTGAAAAGTATCAACAAAATGTAAAGAGATACAGAACATGAAACATGCCGATCATGTGGTTAGACGAACATCACTACGTTGCAACCTGTTTAAACTTTCATTCATTCCTGGTCGGCCCATTTGGATGATCATACAAAGTCTCTACTAGAATGCAATAAGCAAAACAGCATCCATTGCAACTTCATTTCCCCCACAGTGGCAAATTCCCTATCCTCTCAACCAAGTGTTGCGATACGAGGAGTTGTCTCTTAGTGAGGCATCATGGGGCTTGTATTCCATCACATAGCTGTTCGGGAGCTTTAAATGTCGCTTAATAGAATCCCTCAGTGCCATCACAGCCTGTTCATTCACCAAAAAAAGAAAGAAATAGTTAGTGTGTTTAATACAAAGTTCGCCAATAATCCACAAGAATTACAAGGTTTGATTACAACCAAAAAAAGCTAACCTGATGATCAGATGCATTGCGATTCCACACGCTCAATATATCCTCATTAAAACGGATGCTTAGTACTGCCCCGCAAATGTTTTCCCCATAATCAAGTTGATCTCCAACCAATGCTAGAACCTGGAAATCCATATCCATGAAACAGCAAATGATCAATTTTAGACATGTACACAATGCTGACATAGCATACTCAACTCTCAAGCAAGGTCATGTTGTCGTGCGTGGCTAATTAGATAGACACAATGACAATGATATAATCTTAGAACACTCCGCCAAATCAAAACAAGATTAAGAGCATACAACGATCTACAATATTCCAAACTACCAATATTAGCCAATTAAGGCAACTGAACAAAACAATGAGACCATGGGATTGACGCATCATAAACAGAACTGATTAACACCTGGACAAGAACATTCTCAAGTAATCTGGAGTATGTGAGACCAACTAATGTACATGTAATGACAAAATTTTCATAACATAGGAGTATTCGAATACCACTATTAAGTAAGAATTTGCCATACCAGGTCCTCCCAAAAACGCCCCGACACAACCTTCTTGAATCTAATAATCCATTTTCCGCCATTGCAATTGGCAGAGTCCTGACATATTTAAACAGAAAAAGAAATGTATGTTAGACGATGTATGTGCTTCCCCTTGAAAACAAAAATCCATAACCTGTAAACACTTACCTCCCACAGTGGACGAATACCCTCCTTGAATAGATGCAAATCTGTTGGGCTCGGCAATGTGGAGGCGCGAGCTAAGTGACAATAACTGACCCAAAATGCTTCGACCTTAAACCCAGTTGATATGTAATAAGGATGGATTAGACGGTACATAAAACTCATGCTGAGGTGATTAAGGCTACAACCGAGACTAAAAAAGAAAAACTTACTGAGCTGAAATCCACAATCTTCTTTATGTTGTCCTCGTATGATGTCTGAGTTCTGACTCCGGGAGTTCGACGAGTGTACCAAAATACAAATTTTTGCTACGATCACGTATATAGAATATGATAAGTAGGGGGGATAGCATTACAGAATTTGCAATGCACATCATGAAGAAAATTTTAACAATAACTCAACCCAAAATAAAAGTCCATCTAAGTAGTTCCAATACAATCATTTGATATTGTTTTAGGAAATCCTGTATTTGAAATTAGAGCCTCTTAACCTAAAGGAGAACAGCAGCCCAAATGTATGAGATAATAAAGAGGAATTACAGCCTCTTAAGAAATTGCATAGTAAATCGATTCAGTAGCAAAAGGATCAACTAGATAACAAAAAGCACGTGGAGGACATCATTTGGGGGTTGTTATTATCTTAAATTAGCTTGAAGTCCTATCCTCGAAATAATATTTGATTACGAATGCAGAACAAAAGACATAAAGAGAGAAGCCCTATTTTTAATGAGGTGGTATATTCATTCTCCTAATGCTTGAATACGACAAAAGCCAGGAACATGTAAAATTGATACGAAACAAAGGAAACTGGAAAGGAAGCATAGATTGATTGACATGACAGGAGCATCATAGAGAGAGAAAGCGAGAGAGAGATGGAGAGAGACTCACTCTGAGAGGATGGAGACCGGCCTTGAGATCGAGGGCAACGCGTTCTCTATCTTCGTCGGAGGAAGGGAAGGGCTGATGATAAGTGTTGTCGAATTCCTTCTTTAATTCCATTTCCTCGCTTGCTATCAACTCTCCAGCCCTAACTTCCTCTCTCTCTCTCTCTCCTTTTTCCCGTTTTCTGTATGTGAATTCTGAATGAATTGGGATGGAAGGAGGATGGGTACAACTTGTGAAGGTGGGCTAATGCTTCAAACTTCTCGGTCGGTTGCTTCCGATTTGGGCTTACCTTTTAGGCCCAATTTTCTCAAACATTTAATATTTAATTTCAGGTCCAATTCCAGAAAATATATTATCATTTGAGATAAACATGTATATTTTTTAATTAATAAAATCTCCTTCGTCCATGGTAAAATTTAATAATGTAGTATTATTCATATTTTATATAACATTAGTTTTTTAAATTTTACATATTAAGATTTATAATCCAACTATATATATTAAGATTTAACAAATTGAATTTCTATCTTTATTGATGAAAAATAGGTGATTGATAATTGTTGAAAATTAGTTGAGAAAAAATATTAAAAATAAATAATTACAGAAGTATCATTAGTGTAGGATTTTTCACAGTTTAGTTTCAATTTTAATAGTTGTTTAAAAATAAATAACTACATAAATACCATTGTGGTTTTTTTTAGGATTCCATCTTTTGTATATAATATAAGATATCATCACAATTTTGTTAGCCCATTTTTCAACAGTCAATTAATATAAAATATCAATTGAGTCGATTGATATGATATACAAAACTAACTCAATTAATTTACAAGGACAATTTGGTAAATTTGGTAAAATCTAACTACCATAGAGGAACTTAACTAAATGAAAATATAAATTTAGAATTTTTTATTGAAACCAAAAATAATATATACATTCAGACGAACGGCTGTATAGAAGAAAAGAAAAAACGAGGTCTTGGATTAACAATAGAATTCATTCCATAAATCAACAATTTGATAAAATTGTTGATGAATTGATTGATGAAATAAAAGAATGGATCTCCGAGTAAGTCATGGATGTATTTGTATAAAACCTCATATGCTTGATATTATTAGTATCATTTCTGTTGTTGCAGTGTCGCATATATCAATAAGCATTTGGGGTCATTATTTGTTTGAAATAAGATGCATGAGTAAAATGGAATCTTGTAAGAAGACATTAATTTCATTATCGGTATACAATAATTGTCATTAATTCAAAAATAAAACTAGTTTATTACAAAAAAATATGAAATGCAGAGGAAACACATATTCAGTACAAGAAAGATTTCATTACAACATCTTCATCTAGATATTCAACAAACACAGATGTCAATGGTCCAACAAAAACAGAGCAGCAACAACCATCAACCATCTCCCAGCAAATATCAACCCATGTAAGTGCATCACTGCCACCTGCTCATTCAAAACCAAATAAATTCACAAGCCTAATTATTTATGAACATAGATAGATAGATAAAACAGGTATGGTGATCAATATCAAAAATGCTATATGAGTAAATAAGTGTTGTACAGGGCATCAGTTTTAAAAAGCTCGAATTTAATAGCTTCATGGTTTGATAAGCACAAATTCATTGAATATCATCATCTGCCCTGCCCCCACACACACTTGAAAAAACATCATATCGAGTTGATAAAAAGAAAATGTTGAACCAGAATGAATACATACAATATAAGCATGTATAAAGAATACTGGGAAAAGAAAATGAAATAATTCATCACCCACAAAAAAAAAAAAAGGTTCATTTTAATTTTGTTATACGCCTCCGTCTGAACCGAATGGTAAGAAAAAACTACCAATCCAGTTATTCAAGAGGCGATGTATGTATATATTCATATTGAATCAGAAGATGTATAAGGGTGTTTGTAGGAAAGGTTGACGAAAGAAAGAGCAGACCAATCCAACCAAACAGACCTTCAAATAACAGCTCTAGTAAAGAACTGAAATCCATGATAATTTAGGCCTCCTAACTAAGCCTGCTACGAGATAGATTTGATGATGATTAACATCATCATCATCATCATCCTCATATGGCTACTCAAAAGAGGCACTAAGTAACAACAACCAATAAAAATAAGTTAATTAATCAATCAATCATCAAATCTTAAAAGAAAGAGAAACGAAAACAAGTCGCCATAGAGCAGAGTTGATGCTTCCAGGGTTATGGCTGCTGCGAGGAGGATAAATACAACAACGGAAGCTGGTGCTAGGGTTTTGAGATCTTGTGGGAGTGAGTGAGGCCCAGCCCATAATATAATATCTGATTCATAAAATGCTTATTCGGACTTGAGAATATTGGGCCACAAACTTACAGGCCCAATCTATTTTAAAGAAAAAAATCATCAGATCTGTGTAATTAATTGCTCGATCGGGAAATATCCTCATTTCCAATTCCCTTTTAAGTCCGAAATTAATTCAACAGTATTGTAAACCCATATATCATATATATGTGGGTTACATGTAATTTACACAAATATACAAACACATAATTAAGTTTGTGCAACTGATTTTGATTATAACACATGCCGTACATGTCAATTCTTATTGTTGTTAATTTCACTTGGCTTGGCTTTTGGCCGTTTGAAGCATCTCTATGATTAGTGTCTTCACGTCCCTACACAAATTATAAGACCAACAACATGACTCAGAGATTGATATATGTATGTATGTATGTATGTTAGGTTTTTCAAGTAGAACAAAATCTGACTCTTCTACTCACTTTCTCTCTGTAAAAGGAACTCGAAGCTTCAAACTGTTCCCTTCATACCCACCCTACATTTCATATATTTTTTTATTTGAAAAACACTATTTCAACCCTAATGATACAAGAAACATGTGAGTCGAAACTAAGAATATATATAACCTTCACACTGAAACCAAGACTGTCCACGTCCAACATGTATGCATATTCAACCTGCAAAATTCCTGCTTCATTTTCTGGAGGATTACCAAAATATATTCTGAATGCCATACACTAACTAATATATAAAGCTACGCACTTTTTAACTACATCAAAACTACTTCTTCGTTTATTACCTACCAAACAAAAACACATACCTAAAATGTGCTACTATATGTGATTCAAGGATCATTTAATGTTGATCCCAATTTAATTTTATTTATGCAACTCATAGGCATCTCTGTAATATGTTCTGTCCACAAAAAATACCATCTCTCTCAAAGGAACAACGACATGCATTCTCCTTGTTTACAAATAATGTATGCAAACAATTAATGTTGTCAGTCCAAGTCCCATAATTAGTTAAATAGAAAAGCAGCAAGCCCGTGTTCTCTTGTCTGAATGGATAATAGAAAAAACAAAAAAATCATCAAGAAATAAATTTAAACAAATACCGGGACTGAAGTGTAGTGCTGCACGATCAGCTTAGTATCTTCCGAATGATCCTTATTCATATGAGACTGGAAAATGAAAAAAAAAGAATCGACGCTAAAATCATTTAAAAGAGAGTTGCCACACACACACAAAAAAAAAAAAAAAAAAAATAGTATATCAGTGGGTGATCATACCGCTATAGGCTTAGAAAATTGATATATAGGATCCACTTTTGCTGTTCGAAACTCATCTTCACTGAATTCTGAGATTTTTTGAATTAGTTAAAGGACACGCAAGGAAAAAAAAAACACAATAATGGGTCAACCACGGTGTTCGTTTCAACTTGGACAGTGTTGGAAACGTATGAAAGAGAAGGTTATGTATTTTTAAGCTGTTGTCATAGTTGATTCCTCAATAAATAATGACCATGCAATAAGCGTTTAGCTGAGAGAAAAAAATAAATGACAATAGGGGAGAAAAACTGAATGAAGCAGATCTAGTGTAAAATAACAGACCTCCAGATCTGAATAAAGCGGTGGCAACATCTGATACATATGTAACAACTTTAGGTTCAATGCGCAGGAATTGGAAGTCACCAAAGTCCACCTTTGGACAAAACATTAAGGTTATATAGGTTTAGAATGTTCATACGACAAAACTAGAAATAATAGAGGCGTAAATTACCCAAAATGCATGGGGATGCTTCGTGGTGTATGCAGTACGAACAGCTTCCAAATTGCTCTCAGAAACCTAAGTCATATGAGTTTCCAGGTAAAGTGGAGCTATTGTAGAAGAATAGTGGGATATAGAGATGAATGAATGTATCTTACTGGAAGGGCATCCCCCTGCACGGTGATAATTAGGTCAGTCCTGTCGTCTGGATCTTTTGCCACAAGCAATGAACATCTGGAATTTGCTAATAGGTCCTGCACCAATTATTAAATCTTCATTTTACAAACTTTTGACAAAAAAAAGTCAGTATTCTTTAAGGATAAGTTGAAGATGACAGAAAAGACCTTTGTATGAAGAGCCAAGTTACTAACAGCTATGATTGGAGATCCATAAGCATCACAAGCAAAGTCAATCATGGACCCCGATGGATACCCTTGGTACTTCTGTTGTTGTTCAATTCAGGTCGTTGGATTTTCCGATTTCCAGACAAGAAAGCAGGTTTTTAACAAAATTTACACATGCAGACAATACATAATGGGATCAATGAATTTTAGGTGACCTGAGAGAAAGTGGAGAGAAAACCGCGAGAACTATGATGGAGAAGTGTCTTAACTTCCTCAATAGGTGGAAGCCTAGCCGCTTTTTCCTGAGAAACAACAAATTATACCCCGATTTCTAAATTATTGGATTCTATGAACTCATCCACCAAACTAAACAACAAAGACAAGAAAAATGATTTTTTTTTGTTTTTTGGGTTCGGGAAGAGAGAGAGAGAGAGAGAAGAGACCTGGTGATGATGGATGAGTTGAAAGATATCGTGATGAGTGTCATGGGCAGCAGGGGAACCCTACGTACGTATGTAAGAAACAAACAAGATTAATTAACGCAGAATTCATCAAGGGTTATTGAACAGACATACCTGAGTTGAAGAGGCGGCCATGGATTAGAAGATGGCGTATTAGGGCAGTGAGGTTGAGAGAGAGAGAGACTAAGTATAGAAAGCAGTTAAGTATTTCTCTATTTCACTCTTGTATTATATAATATAAGGATCTATAATTTGTTTGGCATACCTTCCCTATAACCACTTTTTATGTATTGTAAGTTTGACGTTCTCTGGATATTTCCTTTTCTCCTTTTCAATTTTCTGACCAACCAACCAACTTGCATCACCATAATCATGGATTTATTTCCTTCCAAATATGTAATAATCCCCCATACAAAACTAGTCTTTCATCTTAATAATAGCCAATCACAAATTTGTTATAAAACCTGGATCAGTCCAATAACACAGCTACCATTGTTCAAACACCAAGAATTTTACTAACTCTCTACATCTTATTGCCCTGTATAAAGTTCATCTTATAAATTTATGACATCAACAAATTTGCACCATATAGTTATCTAAAGGTGCAACCTTTGGATATATATATATGCCCCATTCCTCCTTGTTGTTCTCTGGCTGAAAATATCCAAAACCGCTGATCGAAACATTTGAACTGTGAAAAATGAGAATGCATTCTTGCTGCTGAACCCCGACATTGTTCTCTTGCGAGAGAACACCTCCTACAGCAAGAGTTTATATTTTCTGCAGCATTAGTTTTATATGATGTTTCTCATTTCAAATAAGTATCATCACTCAGTATAACCCCCGAGTCTCAATTTCAACGACAATGGATATAATAGTAAAGTGGCAGGTAGAAAGCAGATCAGGTATAGAGTTTAACAACATGAGAAGATTGCTCAAAAAATATTCCAAATGCTCCATCGAAATGGTAAAAGAGTTGGATTATAGCCTAAATACCGCAACAACGAAATACTTGTCACATAGTTTTCTCCAAAAAAGAAGCTTTGTTTGGGTTAGAAGAGGTTTGTTTATCATATATGTCTGATCGAAACAAGAAATTCCATACACAATGACACACACACACACACACACACACACACACCATCAATTATGCAACATAAAATTGGATTCATAAACCGTAAATATTACTGCTCAAAATCAAATTTTCAGAGCAACAAGCCAACAACAACAATTTAAGACATAAGTGTTCATCAATACAATCATCTTTTTTTTTCCCACAATGGAATTCAAACAACACTAATACCCAAAAAAAAAAAAAAAAAAAAAAAAAAAAACTTGAACTTACATTGAGATCTATCGGAAACACAATTACAAGAAGCAAATAAAAATAAAAAGAAGATCATCATCAAAGTGCACTGGTTACCTAATACCTATCAAAGGCAACACAATTATCACATCAAGAATCTCCTTTTCTTTCATCAGATCACGTGGAGTGATCCACTAGCCCCATAATTGTGCATAAAATTGAAAAAGAAAAGAAGGAGAAGAAAAGGTAAAAAGATAGGAAAATGAATTAGATGAAAACTGTAGAATCAGTCGGAGTGAAGGTCTTGGTCGAAATCATAAACGTCGAAATCGAAGGAAGAAGAAGAGGAGGAAGAAGAAGAAGAGGTAAAATAATTAGGGTTGTTGGGAGGAGAGAAACAGAAGAAGGTCCAGAGACATAAAGCGAGGCGACGGAGATGCTGAAAGGGGAAGCAGAAGAGAAGGTGGAGGACTTGATCGGAGCTCAGCCGCTCCGGGTTGCAAGCTATGTACTGACACGCATTCGCCGATACCTTCGCTACCCCGACCACCAGGGGGCTGTTGAATACCATTTTCAAATACTGGACCTAATTTGTTCTTTTCTCTCAATTAGGAAATTATTTATGTTTACATTTATTTATGTTTTGGTTGGCGTGTAAATCTTACTTTTATGGATCCTGAATTGGAATTGGAATTGGAATTAAAATCCGAATTGGAATTGGAGTTATTGAAGTTGGAGTTGGATGGGCTGGAAATAATAGAATAATTAGTAGCTGGGCCAAGTCAACCGCTGCTGCCTTTATCCAACCATTATTTCCAACAATTTTATCCAACAAAAATTAGTCTATGCCTCTACACTTTATATTTGAATTCGCATGAAAAAAAGAAAAAAAAAACATTAGACTGTCCCTATTCAAATAATCAAAACAAAACTATATTGATAATAATTTCTACAGCTTATTTCTTTTAGACAAAGGAATATCCGGAACCCAACAAAAAAATAGATAAAACTCTTTTGAAATTTGTATTAAATTTGAAAGTTATGAAATTCTAACTATTACAAAATACAAACTTATTTATAATGCTGAAAATCCTAATAAAATTAGAAATACCTTATTAGCTAGATGAATATGGCAAAAAATAAATTATAATTGTAATAGAACTCGTAAACAACTTTTGATCTTTGGAATTAGTTGTCTTATACAAGAAAAGCTCACAATTTGCTTGCGATAGAGTTTGTTTTAGACTAAAATAATTATATGAACACTGCCCGAAAAAAAAAATTTATTTTCCCTTTTCCATTAACAATCTTTCACCTAATAAAATAGTAGGTTATTTTGCGCATCGTTTTGATCGATCTTAACTGAATAATAAACATTCTATCAAATATAAACCATATAATTTCATTAGCTAGGTAGTTAGATATCAGTAGCAAACATAATGAATGAACTGGTCTTCATTCCATCGATGTATAACATACGAATCAAAATATAAATTAAGGTAAGTAGTTTAATTACAGATGACATGACAAACACCTTCATCATTATATATATTTAATTTGCTGCAGTTGTACGAGTAACATATATAAGTTGCGGAGATGAGCAAATTTGAGAGCGTTTTATTTTTTCTTCAAATATATATATATATATATATATACATATATATATATATATATATATATATATATATATATATATATATATATATATATATGATAATATGAAGATTGATTATGAAATTGGAACCGGCCAGAAATTAACCAGTCGTTATTTACATGATATCCCTTGCATGTGCAGTCAATAACATATATATATATATATATATATATATATATATATATATATATATATATATATATATATATATATATATATATATATATATATATAAAATTTAGCTAGCTAGCTAGCTAGCTAGGGTGATGTGCGTAGAGCTGTTGAATTGCTTGATGTTCCTCCATAGGTATCGTCCGCTGGCCATATCAATGAACACCCAAAACCCATTCTGTATCATCTGCAAAAAAAATGAGTAGAATATATTATAATTAATTAATTAGAAACAATATGTTATAAATTAATTAAAGACAATATAACATGTTTTGGTAGGTAGGTAGGTACCTTGAGAATGTGAAAGTGTTGCTTCTGTAACGAAGTGGTGGAAGTCTTGTGTAGGGCGGTTGAATCATCAATTAGGCCGGTGCCGGTGGTGATGTCATCATCGGAGGAACTTACGGCCGTCTTCCATGCAAAATACACAGCTAAGATTGCCGAGAAGAAGACCAATATAAATCTCAAAGGGCACATTATTATTATTTCTTTTATTTTCTTCTGATACAATTGTTTAATGGAAGAAGAAGAAGAAGATAATGGGGAATGGGAATGGGAATGGTATCATCTATCTTATATAAATAAATAAATAAAGGGTTAGTTGGAGATCGATCGATCTTCAGTAGGACTCTGCGTTTCTTTATTACTAGTATATTTGGTATTAATGACCAAGTCAAATGTGGTGCCACCAACTGGCATACAAGTAACATTGATAATCAATGATTATATATATAATTATTTTGTTTGAAATAGAAATAGTAAAAGTCGTCTCTTTTTGATATGGTCAATTCCAACAACTGCTCAAATTACTTATTTCAGAGTAGATGAGCTGCACCCATCCCCATTCATAAATTTCTTTCTTTTTTTCTTTTTTTGTTATCGTTCGTTCAACTGACCGAGTACGAGTTAGATCTGGGCCTCTAGCTATTGTGCTTTCTAACACCATTGGGCCCAATGGGCCTTTCTTTGATAGTTCATATGTAGAACAAGAATTAGAGTCGACAAGTGGTCTTCTTATTTGGAATGTTAAAGTCCCACCAAAAATTAAGGTTTTTCTTTGGTATGTGTAGACGCATAAAATTGATTAATTGGTTAATTAAATTAGCTAATTAAATTGTTTGTAATTAAATTATACCTTGTCTTGCAAGACAAGTCATGGAGATAATTATCAAATAATTATTGGTCAATAGGATTATTTCTTCTCTTCCAAATTATAATAGATAAATATTAATTTAAAAAGAGTCAATCAAATCGTGCACGTCATCAATAAGACTTTATGTAGGACTCTTATTCTACAACTATAAATAGGGATCATTCCTACACAATTCAAAACACAACTCAAGAAGAAGAAAAACAGTACGAGAAAATTCTCTCTACAATATTCAAGTCATCTTCATCAAATTCAAGTCGTTCTTCATCAAATTCAAAGCGTTCTTCATCAACTCGAGGGCGTTCTTCAACAAATCAAGATCGAAGGAAGATTGAATGGCCAACTCCATCAAGAACTCCAAGATCTTCAAGTCAAAGCTCGTCAAAGTTCACTGTTCGATCCGAGACTCAAGTCGCAAGACCCTCGGAAAACGTTATCAAATTCAAAATCAAATCCGGAGAAGATCAAATCAACGACCCGACTCCAAAATTCAAAGTCAAAACATACATCGTTCTAGAGAGAAGAATCAGAGGATTAAATTAGAGTTTGTAACCCGCAATATTTTATTTTAATTCAATAAATTATATTTGTGCAAGTTTTTCTTGTTTGTCTAAATCGCATATAAGAATTTGTTGCTACAGTATGCATGCTGGGGCATACTTCCGACAAACGCGAAGCTACGGAGACGCAAAATTATTCACTCGCCGGAGTATCCTCGATGCGGGTCTCCCGTGGAATCCATTATGCATGCTCTAACCGAGTGTGGTGGAATGAGGGAAGTTTGGGAGTCGGATCCTTTTGGACTAGAGTTGGAAGATTACTCATCTGTTTGGAAATGGATCGAAAATCTACAAAGTCAACTTCGCGAAGAGCTATTCTTACTAGCTGTGGTGGTTATGTGGAAGGGGTGGGAAACACGGAATAAAGAGGTGCATGAAGGGACAAGGTGATGCGATCTCAAAAGTATCGACAGTATTTTCTACGCAATTTGCAAGAAAAGACTAAGAAAATAGTTTTATTATTCTGCATAAAAATAAATCTAAACCTACGTTCTCCTATAAATACTAACCTAATAGAAACCTAATGCATTTAGGAAACCTAATAAAATGGATAACTATTAACCAAACAATAAAAGATAAATACTAGCCTAACAATAAGTAAGTAAATAACTCAAAGCAATTGCAATTCCATCCTAACTCTATTACTTCATATGATTGGTCGCATCATTCCATTTCCCTTCAAAGCAGACCTTGTCCTCAAGGTTGAGTTTCGGAAAATTCTTCGTTGGAATCTTGCCTCTCTCACCCCAACTCTCAACCTTTAGTGAATCAATTAAATTGATTTCGCCCCTCGTTCTTCCTTGAATGTGGTATTCTCGACCCCCGACATTAAACTTCATCGATCTCATACGGTAATCAATCCACATTGGTCCAAGTAGGGCTGTGCACGGATCGGTTTTAACCACCAACCAACCCATTTTCGACCCACAATTTGTGATGGTTAATCAACCATCAACCGACCCATTTAAGTTGGGTCGATAATGTCAACCAACCCATGTATAGTTGGGTCGATAATGGTTTCTAATATGCTAAAAAGTTGGTTAGTCGGTTAATATCGGCCAACCAACTTTATTCATTCGTTTATTATTTATTAATTTTAATTAAAATATTTAATATTTTTAATTTCAAATTTCTATTTTATATCACATTTATTAAATTGTTTAATATTGACCAAAATCCTAAAAGCAATAAATCTAACCTAAGTATCTAATTTGAACTATTTTAATTTTAAGACATATAGTCTAAATATTTGGACGATTATTATTTGTTGAAGTATTTATTTTTAATTGCAATATATATGCCCGTAATGTTTTGGATTTTTTATTTAAATATTATTGAACTAGTCCCATTTAATTTATAAAAGATATAGCGTTGTAACAAGTAATAAAATATTTAAAAAAAATTAAAAAATATTTAGATGGATGACCCATCAACCAAACCACCAACCAACCCATTAAATTGGTTTTCAACCATTACCCAACCCATGTAAATTGGGTCGATAACGGTTTCCAATATTTACCAAAGTTGGTTGGATGGGTTGGGTTGGTTTTATGGCTGGTTTTTAACCAAACCAACCAACGCACAGCCCTAGGTCCAAGACTCTCGAGCCAAGGCATACCAAGTACCACGTCCAACCCGTTTATTGGTAAAGCAAATAGAGTGGCCTTGAACTCGTAACCTTGCAACGTTATCACATTCAACTCATATTTATCTTGACACTCTAATTTTTCCCCGTTCGCCACTCTAACTGAGAATGGTTTAGTTGGAGTAGCGTGCATCTGTAGTCGATCAGCCAAGTTCGGGTTGATAAAATTTAGACTCGACCCACTGTCAATTAATACCTCAATAGGCTCCTTCTTAAGCATGCCCATCAAACGCATCGTCGACACTCCATCCTCGCCCTCCAACGCATTTAAATAAATATGGGGTTCTTCTTCAACTTTACCATCGCCTCCGACTCCCGACCCCTGAATCTCAATCAACAACGCTTGCGCTTTTTTACATTGGTGGCCTCGGACGAACTTCTCGTCACAATTATAGCATAGATTTTTCTCGCGTCGTTGTTGCAACTCGTCCCAAGTCAGTCGTCGAGTCCCACCAGAACTAACAAATTCTCGTCCTGTTGCTATCGTCGTGACTGGTGTCGTCCCTCCTCCCGATTTCTTTCCAACTTGCAGCTGCTCGTCTTTTCGTTTGGCTAGTTCGATGGCTGTTTGTAAATCCTTAGGTTTGAATAGTCGTACGTCACCTGCTCTTTCCTCTTGAAGCCCTGCCATGAATGCACCCATGAGCGCCTCTTCCGACCAACACATTAGAGAATTCATCAAACGCTCAAAATCCCCCAAGTATCCTCGAAAATCCCCTTTCTGCCTCAGCCGGCACATCGATTCGTTTGGGTCTTCGTAGTCACCGTGGCCAAAGCGCAGTAGAATACCCTTCTCGAATTGCCCCCACGAGATCCGATGACCCCGATTCGCTCGTTCGAACCATTGCCACCACTGGTTGGCATCTCCCTCCAGATGATATGATGCAAGCATCACTTTTTTGTGGCCGTGCAGATCATTGGCCAGAAAGAATTGCTTCGCACGGCTGAGCCACACCGGAGGCTCTTCCCCGCTGAACTTCGGAAAATCCATATCTTTGCATGGGTACGCCGCCTTTCACGTTCGCCACGTCCTGATGCCCGACTCCTAATCGAAGCATTAGATGCACGGCTGCCCTCACTTTCGTTGCCAGACGAATCGCCTGATGATGGTGGAGATGGACCATTCCTTCTCCCCCACGGGTTTTGCCGTTCATGACCTTGTTCGAGAAACCGCTGCATCTGCTGCATTGAAGCCTGGATCTCTTGTACCGAGTTTTCCAGTCTATCAAATCGTTCTCTGTTTGTTGCCATGATCGTAGCGGAGCTTTTGATGTTATCTCAACCTCGCTCTTGATACCAATTGATGCGATCTCAAAAGTATCGACAGTATTTTCTACGCAATTTGCAAGAAAAGACTAAGAAAAGAGTTTTATTATTCTGCATAACAATAAATCTAAACCTACGTTCTCCTATAAATACTAACCTAATAGAAACCTAATGCATCTAAGAAACCTAATAAAAAGGATAACTATTAACTAAACAATAAAAGATAAATACTAGCCTAACAATACGTAAGTAAATAACTCAAAGCAATTGCAATTGCATCCTAACTCTATTACTTCATATGATTGGTCGCATCACAAGGCTGAAGTCAGAGCGGATGGTGATTGGAGTCGGGACTACCTACACGCATTCCGGCAGGCATTACTTCCATCAGCAACCAGAATGGAAGCTACACACCAAAGTCAATGGAAAGCGCATGTTATTGGGTCGATAAAAATTAACTGTGATGTTGGCTTTCCACCCGGGAAGAATTCCTATATAGTAGCAGCTGTGGCTCGAGATAGCGAAGGCAATTGTTTGCGTTGGGGTATTCGAAGTTTGGAAGGTCGTCCGCGGGTAGATGATGGTGAAGCCTTTGTTGTTCTTCACGCACTAAGGATGGCCTAAATCCAAGGTTGGAGCTCAATCATTATTGAAGGAGACTGCTTAGAGGTGATCAACACGTATAAAGACGGGATTCTCACGCTCAACTCTTTTGCTGGGCCGGTCCGGCGTATTCGGGGGCCCAGGGCGATAATATAATTTTTCGATAGTTAGGGGGCGACGTCCGGCATCTTAAGCTTAATAAAATAATATAATTAAATTATTTGTTAACTTAAACCTCGTAAATAGAAATTTGAAAATATTAATGTCTAGATAAAACACTTAGAATTTAAAAAAAAAAAAATTAAATTTGAAATCTATTTTAAAAAAAAAATTATAAAAAAAATAAAAAAGAATAAAAGAGTAGAAATCTTTTTATTAAAAAATTAGAAAAATAACTTTTTTTAAACAATAAAACAATTTTTGCACATAAAAATAAATAATATATATATTAAAAAATAAAAAAATTGGGCCCTCAATGAAATTGGGCCCTGGGCGTGGGCCCTGCTCGCCCCATCCCAGGGCCGGCCCTGCTCTTTTGGATCATTTGTTGAAGACGGTTTAATTATTACTCGTTTATTTTCTCATTGTGTATTTCAATTTGTTAAACGTTCCGGAAATCTTCTCGCTCCTCAAGGCTCTTTTATTTGTACTGAGGATTTCTCGTTGCCTCTGAACTTGACCATGGTGGCCTAATAATATTGCTATTCTTGCAGTCATCTTACATCAAATGCTTACGCATTCATGCAACTGTATATGTCAAATCGAAATGAAAAGGAATTCCACTACTCATATATAGATCAACTAGTCTTTAATATAACTTGTACGTTATAAGTTCCTTGAGAAAAAAAATAAAAATTTCTACTTTAGTAGAAACCGAAGGAGTATAAATGTAATGGAATGACTGTATGATCGATGGCATAATGACTGAGGGTCAAGAGATAAAACAATTTAATTAATGATAATGAAGCATGACAATGAAACTAGTGATCGTAATATAATGTTGATGAAATTGAACAACATCCATCTTATAACCTCTTTTTCTCCTCCATTATAGGATAAAAAGGAGTAATAATTGAAGAGGAATATTCTAGTGGTGGATTGGAAAAGAGTATGAGGAGGATTCCATATATAAGAAGATTCTGTACACGTACGTAGAGGAAAACTCCCCAATTAAGTCATATGATAATGTTAATTTGGGTTTCACTTTAAAGTTAGATATAAGTGTATTGATGAGTATTATGTGTGTGAAGTGCACTACTAAATTAATGTAATGTAATAATAATGGGTAATAGATAAAAGCAATTTGTACTCCTTCCTTAGTAGAGAGTAATTAATTCTTATACAATTAAATGCATGCATATGTGAGGGCCTGGTGAAAGGAGAGAGAGATAATATGACAGAATAATTAGCCAATAAGGTTGGAAAAGAATGGCTTTAATTTAATTTCTTATGTGGGATGGGAGAATATATATATAGGTTTAGTGGTGAAGAATATAATGTGGATTCCTTTCCTTGATGGGTGTTGTTCTATTACTTATTTCATTATGTGTGTGTGTGTGTGTGTGTGTGTGTGTGTGTGTGTGTGTGTGTGTGTGTGTGTGTGTGTGTGTGTGTGTGTGTGAATATTATTATTGTTTGGAATGCTTGATTGGCAATCGAGTATGCATGACAAGTGAGGTAAACTTAATTGGTTAGAATTGAAGAAATAGAAACAAAATCAGTGATAATAAAGATTGTGGTGATATATAGTAGTGAATAAATAGTTAATTAAGGATCGGAGTTGTGATATTGTATGGGTAATAAGTTGTGGAAATGGAATAAGATCTCCATGTATCCCCTAAATTCCTAATACACGATCACATAAAAACATAGTTAAGGAAACTCAAAGATTCTCACGTTAAGTGTGTGTGTGTGTGTGTGAGGTAATAAAGAAAGAAAAGAAAAGAAAAGAGAGAAATAAAAAGGGCAGGTGGTGTACCGGGAAATGGTGCAAATCGAGTCAGATTCACACAACAGTTGCAGTATTCGAGAATCGAGAGACACCCCCCAAAAAAAAGAAGAAGAAAAAAAGCATTAATAAATAAATAAAGGGTAAATTACAAACACCCCCTGAGGTATGGTCAAATTACAAAAATCCCCCTCTTGTTTGGATAATTATATCTACCCCCTCAACTATGATTTTTTCTTAGACCTCCACCTCTATGGTGCCAAATTCAACATAGTCATCTAGATTCCGTGAAATGTGATCTAGTTTGTACTCTTTTTGTGTAAAAAATACAATTTCCGATGCACCACAAACTGATATATACAAGCTAAAAATCACATATTATGATCATCTTGCTTCATAATGTAGAGTTTGAATGGGATAAAACGGGTACAAAAGTGATAATATTCCATATAATCCCGAAGATTCCACTAAATTTGATGAGTTGAAGGGGTGGTTGTAATTATTCAAACAAGAGGGGTGTTTTTGTAATTTGACCATACCTCAGGGTGGTGTTTGTAATTTACCCATAAATAAATTAATTATATGGGTATCCACGTCTGAAAATTAAAACAACAGTGGATCGCCACTCAGCAGTACTACTATATATATATATATATATATATATATAGCAGAGCAGAGTGCAGAGGGAAGCAAAGAAGAAGTGATTCCACAGCACAAAATTGATGTTTATAGCCAGCAGCAGCAGCAGCAGGTACGACAGACAGACAGAATCTAATACTGAAGAAGAATTTATTCATCATCATATTATTATTCATTCTCTATCACAAAAAGCATCATATCCTCCGATCCTATTCTTATTTATATATATATATATATATATTCTCTCTTTTTATTTCCTTATTTCCCTCCTTTATTTCCAATTAATTAATTAATTAATGAAATTGATTCCCGGCCCCTCAGTTTATTATAAATTCATATGCCTTGTAATTAACAGAGTCGTCGGAGTACTGGAGTGAGTGAGTGAAGTCCCAGTCCAGTAGTAGTAGTGCTGTTGCAGTTGTCTTCCTTGCTTGCCAAATCAAATATTTTCAGGTAGGTACGCCATTTCTTATTCATTCATCATTTTACATCCATTAATCAATCATCCCTCTTGCCCGGCCGGTCACCTTGTTTTCTTCTTTTTCTTCTTTTTTTTTTGGCCTAATATAATTATGTATGTGTGTGTCTTGTTATGGCCTATATTCCTTATATATATCAATATATGCAGTTAGGGAAGAAGAAGAAGAAAGGTATATATATTTATATAATGGCGATGATCACATCCATTAATTAAAAACTCATATTAATATAATGTTGTCTATTTCAAGATGGATGGATCAATTAATATTAATCCATTTACTAATTTTATGTGATGAGTCGACAACGCTATCTATCGAACATATTTATATTCATTAATTAATTAGTTTTATAAACATATAGTTCACTATATATGTGAGAAGAATTAAGAAGCTGTGGTAGGTAGAGGATATTAAGCATTTTATCATTAGGAAAAATGAGTGAGTAGATCAGATTCATTAAATGATGATTATGTCGGTGGATGGACCCTAATTAACAGCAGCCTCGTTTATTATTAAAATAATTTATCTTTATTAATGTTTATGTAATAATTAATATTGATGCTTTGCTTGACCATTACATATCCTCAAGAGCCGGATGAATGAATATTGATACAAAATTTGGACTTTGCCTTCCTTGTCTGCTGCACTAGTAGCAGCTTAGCATGTTTATACGGATTTTATTCTTTTTTTACTGCAGCAACTTTAATGCTATTATCAAAGATCATCAAATGAGATTTGAGTTGCATGCATTTTCAAGGATTATTATTATTATTATTATTATTTTGAGTAATGGCAAACACGTGATGAAATGTCAAGGATAACATGACTGGATGCTGACAAACTTAATCATGTATGTATTTTGAAATGGTCAACGCTTTCTTTGTGTACTTTGTTGAGTTTTCATATAAAATTACACTTGTGCTTAATTGCCATCTCATCTGCTGGATTCCATCTACTATAATACATATTATTATACAATACATTTACTGATTTACATATATACACACACATATATAGATATAGAGAATAGGGGATGCATGTTGAGTTTTGTTGCATAAAATTCTCTCTTAGATTGTAGGAATTAATTATCTCTGTTTCAGCAAGTTTATCGATCAGGTAAAGAAGCATGAATGCATTAGCTGCAACCAACAGAAACTTCAAGCTTGCTGCTCGGCTTTTAGGATTGGACTCCAAGCTCGAGCAGAGTTTACTCATCCCATTTAGAGAAATCAAGGTTTCTTTCTACTGCTCCTTTCATTCATCTGCTACTAATTAACAGCTGTTTTTTTTTTTTTTAAATATATAATTACGGTTATTGGTAATTTTTGTTGTTGTTGTTGTTGTTGGTAAAAAAAAGGTGGAGTGTACGATTCCAAAAGATGATGGCAGCTTGGCATCTTTTGTGGGATTCAGGATTCAGCATGATAATGCTCGAGGCCCTATGAAAGGAGGCATTAGATACCACCCAGAGGTCTGTAATATAATTTCAAGTCTATATATTTTTATTTATTGAATATAATGTGATTAGAGATAATTTCAAGTCTAATTTAGGTAGAGCCAGATGAAGTGAATGCATTGGCACAATTGATGACTTGGAAGACTGCAGTGGCGAACATTCCTTACGGGGGTGCTAAAGGAGGAATTGGATGCGATCCATCTCAACTTAGCCTATCAGAACTAGAGAGATTGACTAGAGTTTTCACTCAAAAGATACACGACCTTATTGGGGTTCACACTGACGTTCCTGCACCCGATATGGGCACTGGCCCACAGACAATGGCTTGGATACTAGACGAGTACTCTAAGTTCCATGGCTATTCTCCTGCAGTAGTAACTGGAAAGCCAATTGTAAGTATTCTATACATATACATATACAAAACTATACTATTATATAGAGATTAAAAAGATGAATGAATGAATGAATGTGCATTATCAGGACCTGGGAGGATCCCTAGGCAGAGATGCAGCTACAGGAAGAGGGGTACTTTTTGCTACAGAAGCCCTTCTTAACGAGCACGGCAAGAGCATTGCAGGGCAACGTGTTGTTATACAGGTACTTTTATGATTAAGAAGCAATTCATTGAAATGACACTTAGCTAGATGAACAGAGTTTTGTAATGGATGGTAAAATTAAATTGAATAATGTATCATAATATCAGGGATTTGGAAATGTTGGATCTTGGGCTGCACAACTAATCAGCGAACAAGGGGGTATAATAGTAGCAGTAAGTGATGTGAGTGGGGCTATAAAGAACAGCAAGGGGTTGGATATACCAAGTCTTGTAAAACACGTCAAAGAGAATCGCGGAGTAAAGGGATTCAGTGGTGGGGATAGCATCGATCCCAGTTCCGTATTGGTTGAGGACTGTGATATCCTCATCCCTGCAGCACTAGGAGGAGTCATTAACAAGTTAATATCTATAAATATGCATATATAACTTAAATACAAACTACTAAATTGTTGAATATATATTGAAAGATGGTGGTACGGTGGTGTTTGTGTTATGTGTACTGCAGGGATAATGCAAATGAGATAAAAGCGAAATTCATAATAGAAGCAGCTAATCATCCTAGTGATCCAGATGCTGATGAGGTAGTATTATTAACAATCTTGATCATTCATGAATTTAAGAGGGGCAGTGTTTAATTAATTAATTAATTGTGGTGGATAATTATTGTATAGATATTGGCAAAGAAAGGAGTGATTGTTCTTCCAGACATATATGCAAACTCGGGAGGTGTGACAGTCAGTTACTTCGAGTGGGTCCAGGTATGTATGAATATATCAAATGAATGAATGGATATGAGTGAATGGGGATATAAATGAATGAATGAATGAATGAATGCAGAACATACAAGGGTTCATGTGGGATGAGGAGAAAGTGAACACAGAGCTGAAGAAATACATGACAAGGGGTTTTAAGGATGTGAAGGAAATGTGCAAGACTCATAACTGCGATTTGAGAATGGGAGCATTCAGCTTGGGTGTCAATCGCGTTGCCAGGGCTACTCTCCTCCGAGGATGGGAAGCCTGAATCATCGTTTCCTACTCATCAATCCCATCCTCCACTACTACCTACTTGTGTTTTTCTTTTTCAATAATAATAATAAAAAAAGAGAGGATCGGATCGGAGGATGTGATGTTATCAAATAAATTGACACATCATCAGATCATGATTATTTATGTTTCTTTAGTTTTTGGCTTCTGTGTAACTCTGCTGCTTTGGCACTTCCTATTATTATTATTATTATGTTTGTTTTAAGCTTCATCAATCAATGTGGTTAATGATGTTTTAATAATCTTTTTTTAAAATGCATATATCTTATATATGTACTACCTGTACAGTTTAGGCCCTCATTTCTTTCAAGAAAATATTCCCTTCATCTTCTCTCAATCCTATCATCATATATATATCTTGTATATATGTACTACCTATTGATGAGTGCTATATAGAATGGTGGCATTCTCAAGTTTATTCAGCTGAGACTACTAACTGATGAGTATGCTTTGAAAATTCCAAAGCAACACATCATATTGGAAAAAAATTATGGCTTCAGAAATCCGAAAATGTTTATCCTTGGTAATCTTATAAAACTGTATATGCAATTATGTATACAAAACCGAGTTGAGTTTGAATGTGAAAACTAAAATTTATAATCTACAACAACATTTCAGGCTCAGCACCCCTGAAATCATATGTATTATTATATTCATTTTTTAATTGTAGTTTAAATCAATAATAACTGTATATGCATCCATATATATTTTTATTATACAAATTATCATAAATTTAAGGTAAATTACAACCACCCCTAGATATGGTCAAATTACGAATAAAACCCCTCTTGTTTGGATAATTTACATCTACTCATCAACTATGAATCTTCTTACACCTCCACCGTTTTAGTGTCAAATTCAACATAATCATCTATATTCCGTGGAATGTGCTCTAGTTTGTAGTCGTTTTGTGCAAAAATACAGTTTATAATGCACCACATCTGATATATATACAAGACAAAAAATACATCTTATGATCACCTTGCTTCAAAATGTGGAGTTCGAATGGGGGATAAAACGGGTACAAAAGCGATAATATTCCATATAATCAAGAAGATTCCACTAAATTTGAAAACGCAAGGGTGGACGTGTAAACAAATTTATAGTTGAGGGAGGCTGTTGAAATTACCCAAACATGAGGGGATTTTCGTAATTTTATCATACATCAGGGGTGGTTGTAATTTACCCTAAATTGAATTAAATTGTTTTTTTGGTTGAGGTATAGTATATGAAATTGTGAATAAGCCCAAAAGTATCCATCAGATATAAGATGGGCTTGTGTGGGGCTCAAGTATATAAGTAAGGGCCTTAGTAATTGGATGAAATAGCCCAATAAGATTCTCTCTCTCTCTCTCTATACAAAAAACTTGAGACCTCCACTCCACATAAACCCTAAACCTCCTCCTCTGTCTTAATAATTTTCCTGCAAAGAAAAACATGAGACCTCCAAGGGGACGCGGCGGAAACTTCAGGGGCGGCAGAGATGGTAGCCGTGGCGGTCGTTTCGGCAGTAGTGGCGGTCGTTTCGGCGGTGGCGGTGGCCGTGGCGGCGGCTTTCGCGATGAAGGCCCTCCTTCCGAAGTAGTTGGTTGGCTCCTCTCACTCTATCTCTCTCGTCTCTCTCTCTCTCTCTCTCTCTCATATATATATGTTCACTCAGCTAATTCCTTATTTGTTTTGGTTGCAGAGATTTCGACATTTGTTAATGCTTGTGAGGGAGACGCTGTAACGAAGCTTACAAATGAGAAAATACCCTACTTCAATGCACCTATTTACCTTGAGAACATGACCCAGATTGGTAAAGTTGACGAAATCTTCGGCCCCATCAATGAATCTGTGAGTGCATCTCACTCTCTCTCTCTAATTGTTTTGGTCTAGTATTGAATTGATTGATTTCTTATATTACCCTGTGTTTTGGTTTTGGTATTGGTGGTATTATTGTAGTTTTTCTCGATAAAGATGATGGAGGGTATTGTGGCAACATCTTATTCTGCTGGTGACAAGTTCTTCATCGACCCTGCTAAGCTTTTGCCTCTCTCCAGATTTCTCGCTCCCCCCAAGTATGTTTCTTTTCTCACTCTTTAAGTTTGCTCTTTACTCTTGACACACTACAACATGTCCTTGCTAATGTTCCTGTCTGTCTGTTGGGTACATGCAATAAAACTGAATGTGTTGCTACTAATTTAATAAATAATAGTTGATAATTATGATGTTTTTATGTTTACTTTGAAGTTGATGTTTTTCCATTTCATGTAGTTGTATCTGCTACATTATGCATATCTGAGATACCATGTGTATGCGTGTGCCATGAATATTTGCTTGAATGTAGGATGTTTATCGGTGTGTAGTTTAGTCTCTCAAGTATGAATTTGATGTGTACAATTGTGAATGATAACTTGTTCTCCTTAACTGTCATTGTTTCTTGATTTCCTTTTGCATGTCCTAGATTGTTAGTTAACAAATGTTTGAATTTTAGTTGAGTTGTGGAATCCGTTAAATGTGTATGTATTAATTTGCAGGGGACAAGCACAAGGTGGTAGAGGAGGTAGAGGGGGATCACGTGGTGGTGGTAGAGGTAGTGGTTTTACAAGAGGTAGAGGTGGTCCAAGAGGAGGTGGTTTCCGTGGTTCCTCAAGAGGAGGTGGTGGTTTCCGAGGTACTCGTGGTTCTGGATTTAGGGGTAGAGGAAGATCCTAGATTCTTTTCTGTCTTTGTTTGTTTTAATCGCTTTCTTCTTTCCTTCCTTTTGTTGGATACTTGATTTCGAATTGGTGTGTTATTGATTGACACTTATGTTTACTACTAATGGCAACTAGTTTCTTATGTATGGCTTTGATTTGTTATTTAACATTGTTTTCATTCATATATTGCTCTGCTGAATTAACCTATGCAAGTATTTTGTTGGTAAACCCGGGACCCCAACCCAATATTATTATTGTCTATTTCAACGATTAGCTCTAGTGTTGTGTTGTGGAGATCTCATCCAACGTTAAACTGACCAGTATCATCATGCAAGTATACAATTTTCTTCTTTACAATTCTCTAGGGATAATTACAATTTTGGTCCCTATTTACTGCCGTCAATAAAATACACACTAATGTTGTCATATTTTAACACATTTACTCCCTCCATCTGTTTGATTAAATGATGAAATTGTGGTTAAATTGGGGTTGAATAAAATTTTAGGGGGTTTTAGAATATTTTAAAAGAATACAGGGGTCTGAGTGCAATTTTTATCAGTGAAAAATCTCAAATTCAGCCCTAATTCAACAGTTGACGTTACTTATTGATGGTCAAACAGACGGATGGACTAAATGTGTTAAAATATGACAACATTAGTGTGTATTTTGTTAACGGCGGTAAATGGGGGACCAAAAGTGAAAAAATGTGCAAACTTGAGGGACCAAAACTGTAATTATCCTCAATTCTCTACTTGTCTAGAATATTTTAAATCCTGCAATGCCTCTTAAATCACATTAGATATGTAAATAACATTAGTTCCGTTGTATTTGAGGAATGTATGAGCTTAGTATCATTCACAAAATGTTTTTTTTTTCTTTTTCTAATTCATCCTCATTTCTCTATAGAAACTAGTAATAGTACAGGGGATTTTTAGGTATAAATAGATTTGAAATTCCCAATCTAAATTTTTTCATTTAAATGTAAAAAAAGGAAAAAATAAAATAAAATTATAATGTTCACTTGTTCAGTAGAAGTATGGGGTGAAGCTACAAAGTATAACTTGTTTAATGAACCTAAAATTAGTCCTTGTTTGCAGCGTGCGTATATACATAAAATACATATACATTTATTTATGTTTGTATATGTGTTTCGGTGAGTAAAATTAATATTTTAACGAATTGATATTGAACTAAAGATAGACGACAAAAAGACAGCTATACATCAAAATTCAATGGTTTTGGACAACCAAGTATGGTCTAAGACGGCAGGCATTCCAAAAATTGACAGCCTGCAATCTTTTTTAGTCAATCAATTTAATTTTAATTTATATATGTAGCGCACGAATGGATGATTCTTATTTTAGTCCTCTATTATTATTAGGTTTATCTTCTGGCTGTGTATTATTATTATTCTGTTGAATGCAATCTTACACTAATCATTATTAATATTAATAATAATAATAATAATGATTAGGATAAACAAAAAAAACTAGGACGATGGATGGATGGATGGATACGTATAAAATATAAATATAAGATTATAAGTTCGTTGGCTGTCTCATAAATCACAAATCCTAATGAACTAAGGTATGTATAAATTTGTAACCCCAACCAACAGCTTAATTACCTACAGACACAGAGACAGTATGATGATCTAATTTATACACTAGTAGAAAAGAAAAGCTATTGAAATGAATATAGATTAAATCAGAAAAGAGATTAGTGATGATGTGCGGGGTACCAAACTAGTTTAGTCAATGGTTGGTTGCTATTGCTATTGCTATTGCTATTGCTGTGTATATTTAATAAAAAAAAATTGGTAAACTAAGATTAATAATGTTTAAATATCAAAAAAGCAGAGCGGTAACATTATTCTGTCCTATCCACAAGACCACACCATCAGACAAAATTTATAATAGTTTAATTATGGTTGTGAAAGATGATATTGATTAATAGTTGATTGTTGATTAAAGGCACGCACACATGATTAATTAGGGGTTGCGAATTTTGGGTGGATGTCCATGATTCGTCGGTAATAAGTATTTATTTGTTTAATTTTAAATTTTTTATTGAGAATTAAATTCATTCTTTCACATCCACCTACTGCCCAGCCTTATTAATTTAATTTATGGGCCCCCAATAATACGCACACAAATATCCGATCCTTTTGAATGAATAAAAATGTAACAACTGAGTTTCGTCGGTGCACTTTTAATTACTGATCACCGCAACTGCAACTACTGGCTTATGTACTGATACACTGATTTAGCATCACTGGGACATTTTTATGTTGAATTGATCACTGTTAGCTAGGATCTGTAATTTAATTAGAAGAATGACTTGATTTATGGTGATGTGTTAATTTACATGACAGAATTGTATAATATTAGTTTGTTTGTACCATAGAATTAAAATGTAATAATTTAATGCATGGCGTAGGTGGGTCTGAGAATGAAGATCAATTTTGGCATTAATATTAAATATATTATTAATATTGAAATTTGAATGTGGTGACTTGCTTTCAAATTGATGATCACTTTTACTTTTGTTAAGAAGATAAAGTTGCATCAAACTTTCATTTTATATTTTGTTCCTTGGTTCGTATTTACTAAATGTCGGTAGGGAGGGGGGGAATGCGGCATGATCTTAGATTTTAGTTTCACCGTGTATGTCAGATTTTTAATAAGCCAATTATTATTATTATTATTATTATTATTATGTGAAAATAGTAAAGTTTAAGGCAATTGGAAATTGAATGTTGTCGTGCGTTAGCACAATGATTCATCCTGGTCTACTTTTTATTTGAATGTATGTATGTATGTATAAAAATAAAATGAAGGACCACCAGAACACAAAGACAATATTAGTTACTTGAATGAAAAGCGAGAAAGATAATGCTAGTTAAAATACTAGTGAGAAGGTTTGCGTTTGCCACCAACTTGTACTTGAATTTTGATTTTCAAAAACTGAAACAAAAAAACAAATAGTAGTAATGATGAGAGAAGAAGTTGAAAGATTTAACCGCGAAATAGGCTTAAAAGTAGTTAAATTAATTAATAAAATAAAAAATGTAAAATGTCCCCACGCACCGCACAATGCAAGCCACCATCCACCTTCAATTCGTCTTCTTCCCTTTAATTTAATTGATTATACTATATATACACCATCTCACCACTCTCCTTCAATTACTTGCAGTACATCAGCCCCCCTTCTCTCTCTCTCTCTCTCTCTCTCTCTCTCTCACACCATTTTTGCAGCAAGCAAGCAATGGCATCATCAGCACTTGATGACAAACTCACAAACGAAATATTCTCCATTCTTGAAAACAAGTTCCTCTTCGGACAATATCAATTTCAAACCAACAACAACGTCTACTCCCCTGGAAAAGTTAGAATTCTCAGCATCGATGCCGGTGGAGACGCCATCCTAGCCGCCAACACTTTGATCCACTTCCAGTCCATCCTCAGGCGCAAGTCCGGCATTCCTTCTGCCCATATTTCTGATTTCTTCGACGTCGTCACCGGCGCCGGCGCCGGAGGCATCCTCGCCGGACTCCTCTTCACTCCTAAAGACGGTGTATTCTTCACCCCGGAGGAATCCCTGAAATTCATGGTTGATAACCGCCGCCGCAAGTTAGGCCGGCATTCACTGTTTGGCCAGCGGTCGAAAGGTGAGAAGGTGCTGAAGAAAGTGTTTGGGGAAATGACTCTGAAAGACACGGTGAAATCGGTTCTGATACCGTGCTACGACCTCAGAACAGGGGCACCGTTTGTGTTCTCGAGGGCAGACGCGATGGAGATGGAAGGCTGCGATTTCACGATGGCGGGAGTGTGTGGTGCCACGGTGGCAGATCGGGCGGTGGAAGTCAAGTCAACAGACGGGAGAAGGAAAATAGTGGCGGTGGGAGGTGGTGTGGGGATGAGCAACCCGACAGCTGCTGCGATAACGCACGTGCTGAATAACAAGCAAGAATTCCCATTGTGTAGAGGAGTGCAAGATTTGTTGGTGGTGTCTCTGGGAAACCCAAGTAGTAGTAGTGGTATGTCATCAAAAATAATTAATTCGTCATTATTCGTGAAAATAGCTGGAGATGGAGCTGCCGACATGGTTGACGAAGCAGTGTCGATGGCTTTTGGTGATGAGTGGAGAGCAAGTAACTATCTCCGGATTAATAGTGTTAACAATAGTAAAAAAGTGGAAGAGATGTTGGGAGCAAAGAACATGGAATCAGTGTTGTTCAAAGGGAAGAGATTGGTGGAGATGACAAACATGGAGAAATTGGAGATATTTGCAGGTGAATTAATCAAGGAGAAAGAGAGGAGGAATCAGTACTGCATTTCGCATCAACACCAAAACATGTCTAATTATTCCCCTAGATCTTCTTCCTCCGACACCACCACTCTTTCTTCCACCACCTCTTCTTAGCAACTTATTACTTCATATCAATACACACCTACATATTTTTCTTCACTTTTCGAGAGATAGAGAGAGAGAGAGAGAGAAAGAGCTGATTAATCTATAAGGGGCTCGGCTCGGCTCGATCTCTATCTATGAGATGATATTGATTAGATTAGTAGAATTGGGTTTTGTCTATCTAAATTAAATTAAATTAGATGATCACAGCTTACGCCGACACTTGTACTGTTGTTTCCTGTTGGCTGTCTCTGTTTTTCCTTTTTCCATGATGATGGTTTTTATATTATCATTATAGTATATATGTGTTTGTATTGTTTTGTGTTGCTTCAAATTAGTCTGAAATTCAATTTCACTACTTGCTACCTGCTTTGCTGCACTAACCTCAACCCTAAACTTACTTAGCTGTGTGATCAAACAAACCTACATCAATCATTAATATACCCTGTTCAGAAAAAGATAACAAATAAAACCTGCCAAAATTCATTAAACATTTGTGTCTTTGGACAGACTAAAATCTAATTTAATTTATACCCAATCTTGATTCATATTTCAGCCCCATCCATCATCATTGTCATCTTATTGAACACAAAATATAACAAAATAATAAATTATTAAAGAGCGAAATTCATTCAGCAAACAGTCGGACCATGGCACATTGATGCAATGTAGAGATTCCTGGACCACTTGGCCTGCAATCAACCAAAGATAATCAATATACTATACAAACAAGCACACACACACACACACACACATATATTATCGCAAGAAAACGCAAAGACAAGCACCTTAACATGGCTACTTGGGAATGCAGAAGTGCGAAGAGTCTCCTGAGCCTCATCCATCATTAATTTACGTCTGGGTATGCTCAGTACAAATGCCGATTGATCCGTAGTTGCAGCCATTGATGTTATTCTATATCCACTCTCCCATCTCCTATGTATTCCCTCACTTGGGTACACAAAGTCAACCTCCACAACCTCAATTTACAAACACAACATAAAATAACATTCAGCACTTTTTCTCTACTAGTAATAATACCAAAAAGAATAACCAACAACCTTCTTACCTGTTCAGAATATCCAGAATTTCTAGACATTACAACACCCCATCGACTTCCAGCACTAGTCATCGATGTCACATGGAAACCTTCTTTCCACTTTTTACTAATCCACTTGAACGGAAATGATTCGCTAACTTTATATGATTGTTGGGTATAAGGAGTCCCTAAACAACACTCAATAGTTACTATTGACTGATTTTCACTGAGCATCTGCTAGACGAGAATGTAACAACAAACAAAACAAATATATATCTGAAACAAGAAAATCCTCAACCAACCTTTAGACATAACAACCAACGAACTTCCATTAGCTGCACCAGCTATACAACTGATGTAATAGTTTTTCTCCCATTGTTCCATGATCCAATCCTGTCCAGAACCCACAAAAAACAACAACAACAATAGTATAGTCAAGCCAGAACGGATAAAACTACAATCAATTATAAAATAAAATATTACTACAATAAACAAACCTTATGAAGAAAAACAGCTGAAAGCTCATACACCTGTGAAGTGAAACCTGTTCCGGCATCCATGATCAAGGCCCAAAGATTTGCTGCCGAAGCCACACAGCTAATATACAATCCATCTTCATTACCCTTCTCTACATGTTGACAGAGCCTCGAATCTGCAACGTTGTAGTGGTACCTACAAAGCAGCCAATGCGATGAGTATAATTAATGTAAGGAATTTAGCATATAATTTGAGACAGACAGTATACATGTCAAAACACAAGTCTTTCATGTCCAGTTCAATTCTCACATCAAGAATCAAATTGACATGAATCCGTAACAAATGTTGCTTAAGGGCATTTCTATTTAGATGTGCAATGCAAGTAAATATCATAAATATAGCAAAGAGGTAGCTGGAACAAGTTTCATTGGGTTGGTTGACTTCATTTTTGGCGATCAATTTTTTTTTAATACAATGCCAAGGTACGCAAAACAGTTTATAGTTTTTACTTTACACATTTATCAAGTTCTCGTAATGTGGCGTACTAGATTGGCAAAATTATGAGAACCGAAATTTGGAGACATACAAATACGGAAGTGCATAAATGAAGTAGTAAATATTTAGAGTTGGGAACTCACCTCTGTTTCATGGGGCGTCGTGCATTATACACTGAAATCCACTGAGTAGCCGGACTACCCAGTCGTAGTTTCTTCTTTGGCTGCTCATCCTCTTCCAAGTTAATGAGCAACCTCCCGCGCTTTTGCCCAACCTGTGCAATAATAAAACATAAATTTTAACGTAAAACTACTTAAATAATATACAATAACTGCCAAATTATTCCTCATATTACCTTTAGAGCTCCGTCTATTCTTATTGGTCTCAGTGATGTGCATGGTTCAATCAGACTCTCGAAAAAGGATATCAGTTTAGAATAATTCGGCTCCTCGTCAAACTTCATGTTAGTAACAGCCTCAAGAAACTGTTTGAATGGAGTGGGGCAAAAGCAGCACATCAATTCCGGAGAAGTGGTCATTTTCTTTTTACAGACTAGAAAACTCTTGTTGTCTCCCTGTAATCATCAAAAGACCATTAAGTTTAAAAAAAATAAAAATACAATGCGATAAGCCATCGTAAGTTAATTAAACAACAATGCCAATCACCTGATAGCCTTGCCATGGCAACCTTCCCTTTATGAGAAATATCAGTGTGTATGCTAGTGACTCCAGATCATCCCTCCTACTTCCTGTTCGGCCTAAGTGTGCATGCACACTTGCATACCTAACTGTGCCTCTGTCGATAGAGACCAAATGGAATATATTAATCCATACTATGACGCAATCATGCAACAAATTTATGCAAGCTTCACAAACCTAAATATATCTGGCCTTTGATCATACTCAACATGCTGGCCAGATGATGCATCTTTCCACCTAGACGCTGCATACAAATGCATTAAAAACAAGAGCGAAAGATAGAGTAAGAGGAAAAAGTTAACAAAATATGGAAATAAATGCTTCATTGTCTTTTAATGTGTCCTGCCGTTGAGTTATCAACTTAAATCTGTCAGGTATAGAACAGGCAAATAAGAAAAACGCACCATACCCAAACCAAGATCAATAAGATATAGCTTCTTCTCGTCAGCTGATCCAGGTAAACCAAGTAAAAAGTTCTCTGGCTTCACATCTCCATGCACAAATCTAGAGGGAGAAGCACTGCTTATCAATAGTGTATTCAAGACAAGAAAGCAACTGGAAGCGAACAATATAATAAGAATGAAGGTCATGTAAAACAACATCTTTCTAGGAAAGTTACGGTCAGATATGATAGGAATAATATGAAGTAAGTTTTACCCTTTCATGTGGAGCTTTTCAAAAATTGAGATAGCCTCCACGGCGATGCAAGCTACCATATTTGGAGACATACTGTTTCAGGTGCTCATCGTCAAACAAGTAAACACGCAGCACAAGAATCAGTGTTTACGATCAAGTGAATGGGTGAACTATAAACGAAGAGAGAGAGAGAGAGAGAGAGAGAGAGAGAGAGAGAGAGAGAGAGAGAGAGAGAGAGAGAGAGTCTTACGACTGGCCCAATGAATTCCAAACATCCCAAAGACTGGGCCCTAGCATGTCCATGACCTGAAGCAATATTTGTTAGTAACATTATTTATTAGAAACAATGTACACAATTCTCAAACCGGAAAATAAGGTATCATACTTACCAGAATGTAGAAATCTCCTTGGCTACCCTTGTAGTGAACCCATGGAACCCCATAACACCCATTGAGGGTGCTTTTCCATAGAATAAGACAAATACAAACCCATCAAAATTAAAAAAAAAAAAAAAATAAAGAAATGAAAAAAATCTTAAACTACTAAACAAGAACTTACTTGTACACCTGCCACTCATATGGAGGGCCATAACTGCAACCTTTACTGTTTCGGTGTTCAAACTTTATGGCAACCTACCGAAAATAGATTTCCCCAATTACATTCAGATAGCGACAAGATAAATTTAGTTAGTTTTTAGATTTCTGAAAAATTCCCAAATGCCAACAACACGTGTCAGATGATACCTCGATCGCATCTGGTCCTGTTCTTTCCGTGCCACCACTTACCCTTCTACCGACATAAACTTGGCCAAATCCACCCTTACCTAATTTCCTTTCTGTCTTATACATCGGAGAATTGCCCACTTGTACCTGCACCGACAAACCAGACTTAATTACCAGATATTATTCAAAAGACCATAAATGATTAGTTGGGATAGATATTTAATTCTCAAGAAGTTCCGAATGGCAAGCATTTTTGAAATGTGACGAGAGTGAGAAACTACCCTGTCAGGCACTGGAGTTGAACCCGGTTCTTCTTCAACTCCCATTACTTTATTGCCACTCCCACCTTCAATGGCAATTTCCTTATCTGCAACGCCCTCAACTCTATTAAAAGCCGGTTCCCCTTGCCAAGGTGGCTCTGGGTCTAAATCTATCAACCTAATACCCCTGCCTCTACCAGCAGCAGTTGGCCTAGTAGGCCCTTTTGCTACAGCAGCTGCATTGCCTCTACCTCTTCCTCTCCCTCTCGGTCTATTTTGAGCAGACGCAACGATATTTTCTTCTTGATTGGCGGCCTGGAGATCACCAAGACGTTTTGATCTCCGTGCTCCTCTACGCAATTCTGGCATCGTCACCCATGCAAATCACCTCCCACTCGCTTCTACTCACAATCTTCAGTCAAGTAAGAGCAAACAAAAAAAAAAAAAGCTAAAGAATATCAATCTTCAAACTTATCAAGACCACAAACAAAATAGCATAAGAGCTGCGGGAAAGATCACCAAAAAAGCACCGGCAGGTATGAAATCCTAATGCAAAACAATCCTAGATTAAAAATGAATAATTACACAAAATTAGGATAATAACAAAACTAAAAAAAACAACATTTGCGTTAAAGGATCAAAAAAATAGTAATTAGATGAAAGCCATCTCATTGAAAGTAGTAGAATTTAAACAGTTCATCGCTAACGTACATTGATAAAAAGTAAAGAAAATAAATAAATTAATAAAAGCGGCCACCGATCATACCTGAGAACAGCAAAGAAAAAGGATCGGATATAACACCGAAGAAATCTAGTTGAAGAACCCAATAAGATCAACCTATCAATAATAGATCTTCGGTGAAAACGCCCATGACGTAATTTTTACCCAGGAAAGTATTTCTCCTTTTTTCAATAAGAAAAAAATATGTATTATCAAGAATCTGAAGCTCTGAATCAAAAAAAAAAGCCGGAGTGATGGGTTGCTGAATCCGGATGTGAAAATGGAAGCAATGGTGAAAGAAGGAAATACGGGCAAATAATAAGGGAAAGGGAATTGAGTGTATTGGAAATTGGAATGTATCGATAGCTAATTAGCTATATAGATCATATGGCTGGCTATCATCCTCTTCGTTTCTCTCTCTCTCTCTACACAAATCATCTGCAGTCTGCCTGCCCTTATTTGTAGGTTTTTTATTTTTCTCACTTTTTTATTTATTATTTGTTTGATTATGTTTTATTATTTCCGTTTCATTCGATTTGTTAACTAATCGAGATAATAATAATTTTTTTTTAATCCCATATTAATAATAATAATAATAAATTGTGGTGTGAATGGGTTAAGGCCCAAAAATAATTGGCAAAAAGAAAAGTAAAGCCCAACAAAGATGTTCATACGAATCTTCTTATTTCATGTCTTAGAGAGCTTGCTTGTTCATTATATTGCGCGTGTATTCGAACTCACTCTTGTTTCCTCCACATCTCAATTTGTTACTGTGTGTGAAAATGGTAGGATTCTCGACGCAGCCGTATGGGATACAGTCAATGCTTAAGGATGGGCATCGCCATATGTCTGGCCTGGACGAGGCTGTGCTCAAGAACATCGACGCCTGCAAGCAACTCTCTACTATTACTCGCACCTCCCTCGGCCCCAATGGTTACTTTTCTCTTTCTGATACTCGATACTTTTTTATTTTATTTTATTGATTATGCTTCATTCTGATGCTACATGGGTTAACAGAGTTCATTCCATTGTTGTGTTCCCTATTTTATTAGGGTTTACTAGAACCCTACTTATTATTGAACCTTAAGGTAAATGAATTATGTCCTCACTCGTTTTAATTGGCCAGGCATGAATAAAATGGTTATCAATCATTTGGATAAGCTCTTTGTCACCAATGATGCTGCAACTATTGTAAATGAGCTGGAAGTTCAGCATCCCGCTGCCAAACTTTTAGTTTTGGCCGGAAAAGCACAACAAGAAGAAATTGGGGATGGAGCTAATTTAACTGTTTCATTTGCGGGTGAACTTCTTCAAAATGCTGAAGAACTCATTAGGATGGGACTGCACCCTAGTGAGATTATCATTGGATACACCAAGGCAATTAACAAGGTTGGACATTGTCCATCCCATTCTAGTTCCCTTTTTCCACTCATTTTTAACTGTAGCCTCATTTTATTGTAGACGATTGAGATTTTGGAGGAATTGGTCGAGGAAGGTTCTCAAACTATGAACGTCAGAGATAAAGATGATGTAATTTCACGAATGAGATCTGCAGTAGCCAGCAAACAATTTGGCCAAGAGGATATATTGTGTCCTCTCATAGCTGAGGTAAACTAATCCTTTGTACTTGATGTACTACTTTAGATTTGCCTTTTGATGTTGCTGAGTGGAAATGTATTTTTTTCTGCAGGCTTGTATACAGGTTTGCCCTAAGAACCCTGTTAATTTCAATGTCGATAATGTCAGAGTTGCAAAGCTCGTAGGTGGAGCTCTGCATGATTCCGTGGTAGTTCGAGGACTGGTATTGAAGAATGATGCTGTTGGGACTATAAAGAAAGCGGAAAACGCTAAGGTGAGCATTAAGTTACATGTATTCTGTTTGGTTGCTGCATAGTTGTTTCTGTCTTGTTCACCATGCATCTAGAAGTGCCTATACAAGTATAACTGTTATTCCTTCCTTGTTGCCATGACTGATTGACGTTGTAAAAGTGCTACTCTTGAAAACATACCTTACCCTAATTGGCCAACATCTCCTTGTCTGAAATCAGAAACTAAAAAGTTGCTTGCGATTTCTAAACTTTCATCATATTCATTTTTATATCAAGACAATACCTGAAACAAGAAAAAACAAATCAACCATGCAAAAGGCTATTTTTGGGATGCATGGGTTGGAGGGTCCTTCCAGAATTAGCATTAATGAATCATGAAAGCAGAATTGAAACTCCATTTATATGCAGGACTGTTTTTTATTTATTTATAATTTTTTTGTTTTTTCTGTCCTGCTTTCTACTGTCAATTTGTAGTGAATATGGATCTATCTTTTCTGTTTCGTCCAAAATGATTTTGATTACCCTTCCATTTAATGAATTTGACCTGTTATTCACTGTTTTAGGTTGCTGTTTTTGTCGGGGGTGTTGATACAACTGCAACAGAAACCAAAGGAACCGTTCTTATTCACAATGCTAACCAGGTACACAGAAGAACTTCTCTCTGCCAGCAGACTTCTAATAACTCTGCTTTATGCTGTCCCATTTCATCCTGTTACTGTCTCTTCTGATGTTCCTTTCTTCTTGTTTGGTCTGATCTTTTATCCTAAGTAAATTTATGGACTACATTTCACATTTTAATATAAGATTAAACACATTATTCAGAATTTTGATTAGTGGTTTTGATTTCTTGTGATATTATTGATCTTGGAAGTAGGCTGTTTAATCCCCCTTATTTTGATTACCGGAAGTGTGAAATATCTTATTTACGTAACTTATTGTTACAAATCCTTGAAGTTGAACTTATATTGTCTTTTGATCTTTTTGAACAAATGGTTAAAATCTTTTGCACTGACTTTAATATTTTATTAATCGAGTATATGCACATACAATGAATAGCAAACAAAGTTTCAGATGATTTTCCCCCATTTTGTCGCTTATAATGAATCACTTAAGTGATGATTGAAAATCCTTGAATTGGCATGGATCATTTTAGTCCAAAGATTATGAATTATGTTGGTCACTTATTTTTAGATCTTAGGCTTGTTGATATGGTTTTATCTAAACACTTTTCTGTGGGGAATGAACTTCTAGCTGTACCTCCTCATCCCTTATAAGAAACCTAAAGGATTTAGTAGACTTATCTGCTGGCATGGTGAGAACACTTAAGACTTTAATTTGAAAAATATGTTGCAGTGCCTGATAGTAATGATATAACTCTAGGCTTATCTTTTTGCAGCTCGAAAACTATGCAAAGACTGAAGAAGCAAAGGTTGAGGAACTAATTAAAGCCGTTGCAGATTCAGGTGCTAAGGTTATTGTTAGTGGTGCAGCTGTTGGCGAAATGGCATTGCACTTTTGTGAACGCTACAAGTAAAACTCTCTTCCCGTCATGATAATCTTTCTTTCACATTTTTGTGAGTTAGTAAGAATGGTAAATTCCCTGGATATCTATACCATGGCTCTTGATGATTTTGTGTATCTGTCTTCTCCACAATGCCTATTCAAGCGAATGTTTCATTTTGGTCTATGTACTTTGTCACCTAATTTTGCATTATGTATGTCAAGTAATGTATTGGTAAGGGTGTATTTAATTCATCTTTTGGCATGGAGTACCTGGATGGAGTTGCCAATAATAAGTTCATTATATGTATTGCCAATTTAAGCATCCACATAACAAGTCTCTTTTTTCCTTGTTTCGCCTATATTTTTCTTATCTTGTTTCTCATTCTGTATGTCATTTAAAGTTGATGTAATTGTACATTCAAAACTTTATTTTGTAGGCTCATGGTGCTGAAAATCAGCTCCAAATTTGAACTAAGACGATTTTGCCGCACTACTGGTGCTGTCGCTCTTGTAAGTATGATGATTGAATTGATCTCATGTGTGGTGTTTTTGTTCTTGCTAACATCCTGCTTTCGTGCGATTACAGTTAAAGCTCAGTCAGCCCAGTGCAGACGACCTTGGATATGTTGATTCTATTTCGGTGGAAGAAATTGGCGGAGCAAGGGTATTGTCACAAGCTTGCTTGATATTTAGGTTGTTCACTCTCAATTTTGTTTCTCCAGTAGTTGCTGACATTTGATTTGTTTAATGCGTAAGTAGGTTACGATTGTAAAAAATGAACAAGGTGGAAATTCTGTATCTACTCTTGTGCTGCGAGGAAGCACTGACAGCATATTAGACGACCTAGAAAGAGCAGTTGATGATGGTGTGAATACGTATAGGGTATGTTTCATCTAGAATTAAGTTTTACAATGTTCCACCAATTGTCGAGCTTTGTTTTATGCTGCAAACTCAAAATAGTCACTGCAGCCATCCCATTGTCTAGAAATTAGATTGCTTAAATGTGCTTATATAAAGAAAATATGCTCTTATACTCTTTTCCTCTAGGCGATGTGCAGGGACAGTCGCATAGTACCTGGAGCTGCAGCTACAGAAATTGAATTGGCTAAAAGGCTGAAGGAATTTTCTTTCAAAGAAACAGGGTATTTAGTTTTTCTTTCCCCAACTACATCTCATATGAAATTGGTATTTGGCAAGTCTCTAATTATGTTTTAACTTCCATGCGAAGTCTAGATTAATTGCAGTATGAATTCACACATTCATATATATGATTATCAATAGTTTCTGTTGATTGAAACAGATTGACCAAGCATATGCTGTTCTCAGTTTGTTTGTTTGGCCTGTGCTGAGTGCTCAAACTTAAGTTATAGTTGTTTGCTTCAATGTTGTAGATTTATGATTTTTAATTGCAAACTCTGATCGTGAGATATTTGCTCATGATTGATTGATTTCTTATTATAGTGTTTCCATATTCATATTTACTTTACTAAGACCAAATGTCATCTTCCAGATTGGATCAGTATGGCATAGCAAAATTTGCAGAAAGCTTTGAAATGATACCAAAAACTTTGGCTGAGAATGCTGGGCTTAATGCAATAGAAATCATCTCATCTTTATATGCCGAACATGCATCTGGTAACACCAAAGTGGGCATTGATTTGGAGGAAGGTGTCTGCAAAGATGCCTCTACCGTGCGCATATGGGATCTCCACATCACTAAGTAAGTTACTCCTTGTGAGTGTAGAGTAATTTGATAGTGGGTTTTGCACTTTTGATACATTTTTTCTTCTGTAAATAATACTCGCTAATTGGAAAATATGAACATTGTGTACTGTTTACAATGGAATTCCCTCTCTGGTTTTCTAGCTTGACCGTCCCAACTTGGCTTCTTTCCATCCCTCAACTGCCTTTGACTAAGCAAAAGCCAGTGATTTCAATCCACCAGACACCTTTTCTAGTAGATTTTATCTGAGAATCTTGTCGCGTCATCACATGTCGTAACATCTACAAAAGTAAATTGTAAATATACTAACCACATCAAATTTGACATTACGCAATACGGAAAAATTGCTGCAATAAATCTGATCATCTGTGGAGTTCCATTTACCAAATTACTCACTGTAATTGGACCGCATGTCTTGATTCATTAAAGTAATAAGTGACCTAAAGTAAAATATCGGGGGAGGTGTTGGGTCCACGAAATTCTTTCATGGTTCTTAAGTTTATCTTACCTGCATCGCAAATTTGTTTGTAAGTCCAAATCCGCTCCCATCCTGGTTGTCTTAGGGAGTTAGTGAGTAAATGCAGCTCCATTGTCATCCTTGGTAGGTTTTAATGTGGTTAGACGTAACTAATTATCTTTCTAGTGCAAATATTTGAGTCGGCAGCTAAATATAGCCGATAAGGTTGCCATCTGGCATTGATTATGGTTTGACGTGTATTTTGCTATTTTTTGCAGGTTCTTTGCCCTAAAGTATGCCGCTGATGCTGCTTGTACTGTCCTGCGAGTAGACCAGGTAATTGCCTATCATTTACCTTAGTCATTACCAACAGTCAATCCTGATGAGCTTTAATTAAATAAGTCGTCCAAGATTTACTCAAGAAATGATATGTATTTTATTTCCAGATGTTTGATTTTTTAAAAGAAAATGCAAAATGTCCTTTGATACAGTTATAGGAGAAAGTTGATAACCCTTTTTGCTGTTTGGTTGCATCTCTTTTCTGTTGAGTCCTTGAGTTTATCCAGAGTGGTTACTTATTTCTGAAAATTTGTGTACCAGACATTTGTAACTGCTTTTCAATATTATTTTAACCTCCAAAAAGTTTTGCGAAGTTGCTCTCTGGGTTGTGTTCTTGCACTTCCTATCCTGCACTCGTGACCTTACTCGGGGTTGAGCATTCCAAGTCAGGGTCATCTCCATTTGCTAGTCATTTTTGTATATATTTTTCCGTTAATATTCATTGTTATGTGTTATTAGTGCTAAAACCTTTATACTCTTATCTGCAGATCATTATGGCAAAACCAGCTGGCGGTCCAAAGCCCCAACAACAAGGAGGGATGGACGAGGATTAATTTTGGTGGGCTTCATATTTTCTTGAGATATTTATTATGCAGCCTCCTCCCTGAGCTGATCAAGTTAGGATCAATGTTTTATGTTATCTTTCATGAGCTTGTTCTTCTTCCTCTTTTGTTTTTATCTATTTGGCCTAAGATATATTTAATTTGGTTCTGAATTTTGTAGTGTTTATTGTATATGTTGGGTTTTGGTCTTATTTTGATTAATTGATCAATAGTGATTGGTTTGTGCTTCTATTGTAACAGAGAGGTTTATTGTGGAGATAATTGTCTTTCATTCAAAATTTTGTTCTCCAAATTCATATCTTAATTACTGTGTTAGCAAAAGTACCGCGTGTATGTATTGTATGTATACATACAGGGTAAACAGGATCTCTTATTTTACTTGTTATTATTATACTAAAAAGAAGATTAAAATCAATAACCTTGAAAAGGTTGATTTAAAATATAAAAATCAAATATTTGAGAGGACGAGTAATATGCAGTTTTGTAGGAAAAAGATAAAATGTCACATAGTTACAAAAGTATTTGATGGATCAAAAACAAAGGAATGGCAAAACCGGTAGTAAATTAAAAGAGGAGTTTGGAGATAGAGAGACAGATAGATAATAAAACTTGTGTCCATGGCTTCTCTTGTATCCTTCTCTCTCCTCAAAGCTTCTGCTTCAACTCCAACCACAGTCATCTCTCCTCCTCCTTCTCCTACTTTAGAAACTCTTGACCAGAGATTTGGTCGGAAAGGGATAAAATTCTCAGAATCCGGTGACATTCCGACGACGGTTGAGCTGACAGTTAGGAATGGAAGCTCACTGAAGCTTCAGATATCAAATGGTCATATATCTTCATACAGGCCTAAGGTGTACTGGAAAGACGATGGATATGAGGAGGTCCTTCACACACTTGCTGGTTCAAGAGGTGGAGTTGGTTTGGTCATTAATGAACTCTCTCAACAAACAAATTCCAAAGCCCCTTCTGCTTCTGCTGAATGGACTGTCAAAGATGTTGATTCTGATTCCATTGATGCTCTACAGGTACCCCGATAATTAAACACTGTTTTTTCGACTTAGTTAAATGTCTTTTTTGTTCTTAGCTTCCTGTTTCAGCTCAGTGTGTGTGTGTGTGTGTGTGTGTGTGTGTGTGTTGCTTGCTTATAGGTTGAATTGGGGTGCATGAGAGGAAGTTTGGATATATCATATGTGGTGTCGCTTTATCCACTGAGCATGGCGACAGCAGTGATAGTGAAGAACAATGGTCGCAAGGCTGTGAATATAAGCAGCGCCATACTTAGCCATTTCAATTTTAAGAAGAATAGAAGTGGTAGCGGAGTTCAAGGATTGAGAGGCTGCTCTTACTGCACAAACCCTCCTCCTTCATCCCCTTTTGAAATACTATCCCCATCGGAATCTATCAAGTCCGAGGATTCACCTGGCTTCTTCTCCTTTGGTTGGGAGCCCGAAACCAAGCCCGGAGTTTGGACTGTGCAAGATGTCCCTATTACCGTCTTGAAGAATAAGCTCAGCAGAGTTTACTCTGCCTCTCCCGCTGAACGCTCTAAAGACTTTCACAGAAGCGCTCCTTCCAAGTATGAAGTCATAGATCAGGTGATAAATAGTAATAATAATCCATCTTATTGTTACAAATTATGATTATACCACAATTAAAAATTGTGTATTATTTCTCATGTCAGGGGCGCGGACTCTTCTATCGGGTGATAAGAATGGGTTTTGAGGAGATATACTTGTCAAGCCCTGGTTTGTATTCCGATAAGTATGGGGAGGACTACTTTATATGTACAGGACCCGCTTCAATATTGGTTCCGGTGACAGTGAACCCTGGTGAAGAATGGAGAGGGGCACAAGTCATTGAGCATGATAATTTGTGATCAATTTCCTAATTCTTCTATCTATATGCACTAATCATTTGCAGTTATGTACATAGTGAAAGGAGAAACACTACACAATACTATTGAGTATGTGTCATCGTTTTTATATCATCTCTTGTTATGTAATACTCCCTTGCTATGGCATTGAATAAACAAAGACGATGTCCTTACATTTATTTATTTGGGAAGTTGCATAACCAAACTCGCGCGGTGGAATAATTTTAGTAGGAAAATTTGTATTTGTCGGAAAAGAAGATAATAAGATATGTAAAAAAGAGAGCGTATAATTTTTTGTGAGAGAGAGAGAGAGAGAGAGAGAGAGAGAGAGAGAGAGAGAGAGAGAGTATATAAAACAATATCTCTCAAGTACGAATGATGACCAACCATTCCAATCCAGCATGTGTGATGGCAAGGATAAGGGCCAGTTGGGGCAAATTGTAAAACAGTTGACATAGAATGATGGGCATTATTTACCATGGTGGTCTTCCTACGATAAATGTAAATGTAAATGTGGCAGCAAAGAACATCATCCACTGGGGCAGACGGAAGTTGCCAATATTGGCGGCAGCAGGAGCAGTGGGTTCAACGGACTACTTGGAAAGAGAGTGTGGAGTGAGCCTTAAAGAGATAGGCGATGATTGTTGTGTGATGAGCATGGCACTCGACAATGGAGGAAGCTCAGCCAAGTTAATGCTTCCAAGTGGTTTGGTAACTTCATTCAAGCCTCAGATGTGGCATGGTGCCACTATGGAGTTACTCCACACCTCCGTCTCTGCCGCTGCCGCTGTTGCAAGTGACGATATTATTAATCCTCCTCTCGTTCAAGGAGGACTCTCTTTAGCATTGTCCTGCCAGAACGATATTAATGGGATTCCATGGTCTCCAAATGATTGGTCTGTTCATCAAGTTACTGGAACTCCTCAAGATTCTATTCAGATACAACTTATCAGCACAAGTAGTGATGAACAACAAGTGAATGCTCAAGTAAAGCATATCATAACACTTGGAAGAGATGCTTTAACCTCGGAGGTTATAGTCTCTAATTCAAGCACCTCTTCTTCCATCTATCTGATGGGCTCAGCCATTTGCCATCTTGCAGTCAGCACACCTGATGCAGCTTATGCCATTGGACTCCAATCCTCTGATTTCTTTATCAGGCCACCCTTTGCTCCTAATTCCACTATTATCATCCCTCCCGACTTCATGACAGTCGATCAAGATTCCACAAAAACATGGCTCCCCTTCAACAAATTATTTGCAACAAGAAGAAACGAGGACGACGTTGATAGCTTGGTTAGACGAGGCAAGCCAGATGAGGAGGCTCAAGAAGAAGATGATAACTACAAACATTTGACTGATAAGTTATGCAGGATTTATACCAGCGCTCCTCGAAATTTGACCATCATTGACCGCGTAAGTTAAATAAAAAAAGAAAAAAAGAATACTTGAGAGAGTTTGGATACACATACAAATACTTGTGGTGCGATTCTTATAAATAAATAATGTCAATTGTCACTTCGCAGGGTAGGAGAAATTCAGTGACAGTTGGAAGAAATGGGTTTGAAGAAGTGTATATATTGAGTCCAGGATCAGAGCACGAATGGTACAACAAGTACTCTTACATCTGCATAGGCAATGCAGCTCTCCTTCAACCAATCATCTTGAAACCTCAAACTCAATGGAAAGGAGGCCTGCAATTGTGGAATCCCAATTCCTAAATCAAAAAAGATCCTGCCTCAGAGAAAGATTCTTCTGTGGTGTAATTGTATGTCTAGATAGAATCACAATCTGTGTAATCCACATACACAAGACAAACGATAGATAAAACCATTTTTTTTTTAACCTATCCGTACAAAATGTTTTCCATGAAACTTGCAGCGGATTATCTATGTATTCCAAATGAGACATAAAACAGATGATTTAAAAAAAAAACGGATAGAACATACAGTTTCAACAAGAAGCATTGTTCTGAAAAGGACATCCCAACTTAGAATAATGTTCAAATGTTACTAAGGTGTTGCAAAGAACACCACATCATAAAGGCGAACAAAAATCTAGGTTGGGACAAGAGTGTAGTGATTATCATCATAATCACCTATTGCCAACAAACACAAAAATGCTGCAAGTAGAAGAAGGGAAAAACCACAGGCAATGTTGCGGATGGATTTCTTATGGTTGTGTTGAACGTTGACTAATTGAATTTGAGGTTTCTCTTCTGCAGACAATCTTATATCTTTTTCACTGAATACATCTTCCGTGGAGGAAACTGATTCCGAGGTACCATGGTACTGTTCACCACGAGAAGACAATTTCTCCTCGTTCTTGTCATAATTGATGTCCTGATGAAAACAATTTTGTTGACGCATTGATGTAGGTGTCCACTCAAATGTGCTTGTCTGTGGACTTCTGAACCGCCCCACTTGTTTCTTGGAGAAGCCCGAATTTGAATCATCTTGATCCTGAAGTGAGCGAATGAGCTTTCTTGGGGTAGTGAAAATCTTCACATCATCAACATTAATGTGCGAGTTCGATCTCTGAAACATAAATAGGAACAAAAGCAATTATTATGAGATGACAATAATAAGTTGATCAAAATGATTTTCAATTCTCATTTCACTTATCAAAATTGTAAATAATTTGCAAGAAATTTTTCATATTACAAGACTTTTCAGTTATGCCACATACCAGAATCAAGTTTTCGTATCCAATGTCCACCTAAGTTCTATTTTTGCACATCTTGATTCACTTTAATTTTCATAATTTATGATTCAAACCATGTGTGAAACCCAATGTGAGAAATGTTATGAAAAGTTACCTGCGGATTTGGCGTATTGCTTCCAAGAAATTTATTTTCAGCACTACCTTGAACAAAACCTGTAAAATTCTCCATATAATAATCTCCATGGTTGTGAGAAAAATCATCATACTCGGAGCTCATTATGTCACTTCCTCGAGTTATATCTGCGAATATGCCATCTTTAAGAGATACATCTACGACTCCATTCTCACGCCTACGCCAGAGTCTACGATTCACACTCCTGCGATCAGAATCCACACTTTGATAGTCCTGATTCGTCGAATTTGGTGATTCAATAAAATAGTCATAACCAGCAAAAGAATCAACGGTTTGTGATTCAGGTGAGGCAGTGAAAGGTGATTGGTCTCCAGAACTACAAATGTTTCTCCTCCTAGTGTTTTCTCTTCTGCCAAAGTTTGAGCCGGTGGCTGAACTTATATCTCTCTCCAGTTTTGAGCCTTTCTCAGCACATATTCTCTTTGCAATTTGTAGTGCTTCAAAAGCAGCCCCAGTAACGAACGGCATTCGATCAGACTGGCACTTGTCCATTTCCTTAATTACCAACTCCAACTCAGACAATATACTTTTGGGATCCAAGCATCTCATTAAAGAACTCACCATATGTATGGCTGATAACTGCTTCTGAGAATTTGCGTCAGCGAAACCAGCATCTAGAATTTGCAGTCCAGACTGTATCAAGAGCCTGGCATAAGCTTCAACGACTAGGCTATTGTGCTTAGCCAAAGCCGTAACTAAGGCCATGTGGGAATTTGTCTGTGAATGCTGCTCCAAAGCACCTGTAACTCTCTGGCATACTTCATTTACCATTTCGTTCGAAGCAAATCTCCAATTATCAGATTCAACAAGCATCTGTAAACAAAGTGCAGCACCAGAAGACAGATTTTCTAGGCTACCCAAAAGACAATCTGAAAGGGGCTTGCACAAAGAATGAATAACGTATCTCTTCCTATCCTCCTCCGTTGTTGGGTCAATTGCATACCTTGCTATAGCCGGAACCACCTTAGAGCAAGCCTGGTGAAGAGCAAATGCACCGGCGCTAAGGGACAAGGTCTTGACAATGGTGTTCATAATATTTTCAATCTGAGGGACGATTTTTGGCCCATGAACTCGAGCAAGAACCTCATATAGTGAAATTGTGTGCTCGCCATACGATGTACCAGTTTGTTTGGTTTCGGAAACCTGAGCAAGAAAGATGGGTATTGCCTTTGAATCCAAGTCTTTAACGTAAGATTTCAGTGCTTTCATAGCTGATTTCCTACTATCAGCATCCTTGTCAAGATTCTCCAACTCCTGACGTAGTATTGGACCTAGACTTCTTCCCATTTTAGTGAACTCTGAAAAAAATAAAGTGAAGAAAAAAGAGCAATAGATGAGCTTATCTTTCTTTCTTTTTTTCAATTGAGGTTAGCAATTGATAGCCTGGAATTGAAAAAAGTGACTTGAGAATACTGTTCTTGCTGCACAAACTCTCTCATCAAATAAATATGATTGCAGAAATTGAAATTTTCTGAAAGAAAAATTAATGTAGGGAAAGGGATCGGAATAAGACCTAAAAAGAAAAAAAAACAATGAATTTTGGCACATGGAAATCTCAAATCTGAATCAAGAATCTCATGTACTTTTCGTCAAGAAACGAAATTGAGTATACAAGTCGGTATTTAGGGGATAAAGAAGATGAAATTGAGAGCGAAAGAGCTAACCTGCGCAGAATCTTGCTACTTGTCACTGTTGGAGCCTCAGATACAGATACAGCGTTAACATTCAATCTTTGAGCTGTTATGTGACTGAAACCCTACTAGAACAAGTGTGGGAAATCTACCGGCCGTCGTTCCTCAGTTTTCATGGACTGGACGAGATCTCTACTGACTTGATTTACGCGCTTTTTGCGCACCCTTGTCTGATTGTTTTCATTTCAAAATTTTAGATTCCATTTTTTAAATCTTTTTTCATATTTCCCCCGCTATCCTCCTCCGCCTTTCCTCTTTAGACCATACCATATTGGTTATTATCCTGGTTTTAATTCCACTTTGCACCCTTAAATAACAATAATAACACTTTGCACCTTCGAAACACAATGAATTACTTACAATGCTCCCTTAATTGAATAATAAAGGATAATTTATTTTTTATTGTCTATTCAATTTCATCTAATGCATTTTTTACTATAAAAAAAGGGTTATTATAATCATTTCTTGTTATTATTATTTTTTTTTCGTCTTTGGAAGAACTATTGTTACTTTTTAACTTGCTATACATTTTCGAAATTTATGCTGAAATTTGAAAAAACGATGGTAGGATCGTAGGAGTAAGGACGCAAAATGAGTTTTTTAGTCCTGTAAGTTTGCTAGTTGGGAGTTTTATTACACCATGTTCAAAATCAGAATTTTAGTCATGTAAGTTACAGAACTTGGAAATTTTGATCCTATGACCTGCTATAACATGTAATGTGATTATTGGTTGAATGAGTTGGCATTTAGTTTATAAAAATAAATCGATTAAAAATTAGTTAAGTGATGTGGCTAATGAGTTGGATGATTTTAGAGGGAATTTGATCCAAAATCAAAGATACCAAAATAATAGGAAAAATTTAATATATTTTACATATGTATATTTTTGCAATAACAAACTTCAATAAACCATTGAATAAAATATGCGATTATATTTTGGGCACTTTACAAATAAGTTCATCAATTGATACTTATTTATAAAGGTGTCCAGACAAAAAAAAATTTTACAAAAAAATCCACACATGGTCTATTTTGGGCACTTTACAAATAAGTTCATCAATTGATACTTATTCATAAAGGTGTGCAGACAAAAAACTCTTTTACAAAAAAGTCCACACATGGTCTAGAGGTTTGTAAAAGACTAAAATAGCCCATCATATTTTAATATGCTCCAATTTCATCATTTAATTTAATCTAACTTCAATTTGACCCCTAATTTCACAAATTATTCAATTTTGACCAAAATTACATTTTTATGGACAATTTCGTTTGTCACCGCTGGTCTCCGGCGTTGACTTTTTTTTTTCTTCCTCCTAATTTTTTCGCCGTCTCCGGGCGTTGACTTTTTCGATTTTTTTCTTCTTTAACATATTTTTGCCCCCGTTTAAACAACAATATTGTTGTGGTTGATAGTAATATTAACTATATTACTGTTAAACACAGTAAAATTAACTATACTACAATTAGTAATATTGCTATTTTAATCTCTAGCACAATAATATTAACACAACAAACTGATACGATCTCTTGAGTATCATAAGATTTCTTTACTGAACGTAAGAAAACTCTTCTTTATTATTTCTCTTTGCATTATAAAAACCCTAGCACAAGACGACTATTTAAAGATAATAAAACCATAGAATCCTAATCTAACTAGAAAAGATAATTACCTAAACTAATAAAATACTTAATAATCTCCTAACCCTAAACTAACATACGGCTATTTCAATATAAATATACTATACTAATTAATTAATAATAAAATATTAACTCAAACAATACTTAAATAATATATTAAATATTAAAATACTAACTAACTAATAATTAATCGATATATTATTTAATATATCGTATCAAACCACCCCTCTTGAAATGAACCTTGTCCTCAAGGTTCGAGTCCATTTGGTCCCTCATCTTTGCGTTTCCACCTATGTTTGACTTCATCGATTTGTTCATCGACTTGCTTCCCGATTGACTCCGAAAAACACGATGAACGACCAAACTCTTTAACACATGACTCTTGCTGACCCCAAGAGATTCCAAAGGCTACTTTTGCGAAAATACTCAATTTTTTTCCCGATAGATAAACTTTTTTAATCGTCTTTTCAGATTTTGTCTCCTCCAAACTGACCATCGGTTCTTCGTCTCCTTTCTTTTGAACACCATGGAAATCTCCCAATATCCATAGTAGCTCTTCGTTCTCATCTCTGGTTAATTTCTCGTCTTCGTCCCACTTTATCTCAATTAACTCCGATTCTTCTTCTTTCGGCTCTTCGTCCCACTTTATCTCAGTGGAATTCGATTCTTCTTCTTCCGGCGAACTGACAAAAATCTGGGGTTCTTCGAAAAAGTCATCGTCGTCCTCTTCCTCTTCCTCCGGGAATAGGCTCGGCAGCGGCGGTGGTGATGGTAGCGGTGGCGTTGGCGGTGATGGGCGGCGGTCCCTTCGGCTTTTGTGTTGGCGTTGACGTCGCCCGTGACTTTGTTCGAGCAATTTCTGAAAGTCAATCCGTAATCTCGCTACGGATTTGTCCAATCGCTCCAACCGTCTTGTTTCTGACATCATGATTCCACAAAGTTTTGATGTGATCTCAACTTTGCTCCAGCGTAGCTTTGATATAATCGCTGCCTTGCTAACGAAGCGTTGGTGTTAATCGCAACTTCGCTCTGATACCAATTGAGGCGATCTCTTGAGTATCATAAATATTTCCTACGAAACGTAAGATCTATTCTTTAATATTTCTCTCTTCATTATCAAACCCTAGCACAATACGACTATTTAAAGAGAATAAAACCCTAGAATCCTAATCTAACTAGGAAAGATAATGACCTATACTAATTAACTACTTAATATATATCCTAAACCTCCTAACCCTAAACCCACGTATGGCTATATTCAATATAAATATACTATGCTAATTAATTAATAATAAAATATTAACTAACTAATAATTAAATAATATAATTAAATAATATATCGTATCAAACCACCCCTCTTGAAATGAACCTTGTCCTCAAGGTTCTGCCCAATAATCGTCTCTCTGTTTTGTGTTTCCATCTATGCTTGACGCCATTAAATTTCTTTCCGAGCAAGATGTATTTCTTTGCTTGACCAATTTTCACAAGCACGTGACCATCGTTCTTGATTTTATGAGTGAAGTCATCTTTCTCGGTGGAATCATGAACCTGGTCTCCAAAGTGATCCACTTTAGCCAGACAAAAACTAGATAACTTGGAGTGGTTTTCCTCTTCACAATAAACAACTAATTCCACCGAATTCTCATCATGTAAAATTGGATCTTCCTTAAAATTATGAAATTCTTTCAAAATTTCATGCAATTCTTCGTTCTCCTCCTTCACTAATTTCTCGTCTTCGTCCCACTTTATCTCAGTTGACTCCGATTCTTCTTCTTTCGGCTCTTCGTCCCACTTTATCTCAATTGAATCCGATTCTTCTTCTTCTGGCGAACTCACAAAAATTTGGTGTTCTTCGAAAAAGTCATCGTCGTCCTCTTCCTCTCCCTCCGACGATAGGCTCGGCAGCGGCGGCGGCGGTGGCTCTTTGAAAAATTCATCGTCGTCCTCTTCCTCTTCCTCCGACGATAGGCTCGGCAGCGGCAGCGGCGGTGATGGGCGGCGGTCCCTTCGGCTTTGATGATGGCATTGACGTCGTCCTTGACTTTGTTCAAGCAATTTCTGAAAATTAATCCGTAATTTCTCTACGAATTTTTCCAATCGCTCCAACCGTCTTGTTTCTGACATCATGATTTTCACAAAGTTTTGATGTGATCTCTACTTTGCTCCAGCTTAGCTTTGATATAATCGCTGCTTTGCTAACGAAGCGTTGGTGTTATCGCAACTTCGCTCTGATACCAATTGATGCAATCTCTCGAGTATCATAAATATTTCCTACGAAACGTAAGATCTATTCTTTAATATTTCTCTCTTCATTATCAAAACCCTAGCACAAGACGACTATTTAAAGATAATAAAACCATAGAATCCTAATCTAACTAGAAAAGATAATTACCTAAACTAATAAAATACTTAATAATCTCCTAACCCTAAACTAACATACGGCTATTTCAATATAAATATACTATACTAATTAATTAATAATAAAATATTAACTCAAACAATACTTAAATAATATATTAAATATTAAAATACTAACTAACTAATAATTAATCGATATATTATTTAATATATCGTATCACAAACGTCATTATTATTATGTAAGACTAATATTAATATGTTGACCGGTCAATAAATGTAAACATAATAAAAAGCCAAAAGAATTAATATTACTGTAACAACAATAATATTACCGTCAACTAGGGGTGGGCATTCGGGTCGGGTCGGGTTATTCGGGTTATTCGGGTTATTCGGGTTTTTTGCAAAAAAAAATTACCCGAACCCGACCCGAGATAACCGGGTACCCGGTTATCTCGGGTCGGGTTCGGGTTTTGCTATTTTCCTTTTTTTTTTTTTTTTTTCAAAATAAATAGTAACTAAATTTACTTAAGATATACATATATATTATATATATTAATATATATATATATATAGACATATACATATACTGATATACATATATATACATACAAACATAGACATATATATATATATATATATACACAGTCTGTATTACAGACATATATATATATATATATATATATATATATATATATATATATAAATAAAAAAATATAAAAAAATATGTATATAATTGGGTACCCAGGGAGATTTTTATATACACGGACCCATACCGGTTTGAAACCCCCCGGCCCCCGACCCGGGAAAAAACCCGCTAACAACCAAATTCCCCCCTCCAGTCGGAAATAACTCGACCGGGTCGGGTACCGCACGAGGACCCGGAGGAAACCCCCCACCCCCACCGTCAACCACGATAATATTATTGTATTTAGAGTAATATTACAATAATAGACAGTAATATTATTACGTTACTCTCTGACTATCTCTCTCTTAATAAGAAAACCCAAAGAAATAATAATATTGATGTAGTTGACAGTAATATTATTGTGTTTACAATTATTTTACTATCAACGACAGTAATATAATTACGTTGACTTGTCAACAAATCAAAGAAAAAAAAAATCCAAAAAAAAATAATATTGTCGTTAACTCTAATTGTACTGTCAATGACAGTACAATTACATAAATGTACTGTCAACGATAGTATAATTACGTTAATGTACTGTTAGTGACATAGTATAGTTATTGTTAATGACAGTACAATTATGGTCAACGTTTAGCGACGAGAATAAAAAAAACTGATAAAAATTTTATGAGAAAAAAAAAATCACTAAAAAAAGCCGAAAAGCCGAAACCCGAAACCAAAAAACCCTAAAACTCGAAAATCCGAAAATCGAATAAAAATAAAAATAAAAAAATCACTGAAAAAAGTCAACGTTGGAGACCGGCGGTCAACGCCGGAATCCGGCGGTGAAAAATACAGACCAAAAAAAAAAAAAGTTAACGCTGGAATCCGGCGGCGGATAAAACAAACCAGAAAAAAAAAATCGAAAAGTCAACGTCGGTGACTGACGGCAAAAAAACAATTTTTGAAAAAAAAAGTTTAAAAAGAACAGTTAAATTGGATTTTTGTGGTAAAAATTGATTAAATTGGGGTTACAATTAAGAATTGTGTGTAAAATGTTGGGTGTAATTTTGTCATATATATTAATTTTTTCTTTATTTATAATAAATATTATAGGGATGGACTTATTGCGGAAAGAGAATTAGATGTTAAACCTAGAATAATACAGATAGTTGGTGAGAGATTCATGCACAAAAACTCCTTATATTTTTTTATGGAGGAAATAAGCTTGGCTAATGTTTAATTAATATTTCTTAATTTTTACGATAAAAATAGTAATCAAATTCCTATTTATCTAAATATTTCATTTTTTTACAAATATATAATGTGATCACAATGATATTGAAACAACAATCAAATTCATCAAATATATGAGAAAACACTTTATATTAAGACTTGTTGTAAAGTTAAATGACATGTACAATTATAATTAGTATAAAAAACCATAATCACATTTACGAATTAATCCAAATAATAATAAAATATATTGATAACCCTATTAAATTAAATGTACACAAAAAAAAAAGCACTATAGAACCTCCAAACATAAAATAGGTTATAAAACCAAGAGTAACAAATACCCAAAACGAGTTATAAAATATAGTTAATTACTATTTTTATTAATTGAAAACTATGAAATATTAATTAAAAAAATAATTATTATAACAATGCTTATTTCATTCATCAAGTAAAATAATAATTTGATGGTATATTTTATTTCCCTCGAAAATTGTTCAGTCCATCAACCACATCATCTAGTTTGTTTTTAGGGGAAATATGCAATCATCCCCTCAAATGGAAAATATTTTGAACTCAACCCAATTGACTATTAAAGACTTTTGCCTACACCCAAGTTTTATTCTTAATTAGTGAGACACCCCTAACCAGACATGATAAGACTAAAATGCCCTTATGTGATTAGGTTTTTAACGTGATATAATTTATTTCACTCTTTCACTCAACTCTCTCTCTTGTTCTCGATCTCTCATCTTCTTCTTCTCTTTTTTTTTTGGTTTTTTTTTCCGTCTTTCTCCAGATCTGTATACCGAGGCGGCGCCCTCCTTCATTTTTTCACACCACCACCGTAGTCCACTAACCATAGCCACCGTTGTCCGTGCACTCGTCACCGTCGGAGTTAAAAATACTTTTCAACCTCCGGTCGGCCGAAACCTAATGCAGGAGGTCCTCCTGTGTACAAGGGGTGGCGGCGGTGCCTCCCCCACCCCGTCGCCGCCCTTCGTCGGATGCGTTACATGGAGATTTCTATTTTTCGTTTTCTCTTGATTTTTTAGTTTTTTCTTCTTTTTTTTTTCCTTTTTTTTTCTAGATTTGTCCACCACCGCTACCGTAGCCACGTCCCCACTCTCTCTGTCATTCACCGTCGTCCGTCGTTGTCGTCGCCTCCCCCTCCCTCCCTTTTGTTATTTTCGATTTTTTTTTCTCTCCAGATCTGAAACAGCTGCATCAACGTGACTACTCTGGTTCGAATATGACTATTGTTGATTCACTCGATTAGTGATTTATTTTTTTCTCGTGTTCGTTGTTTCTCTCGATTTCTCTCTCTTTACACCACCATCGTCTCCAAATAGATTTGTACACAACTAATACCATCGCCGCTCGTTGCCGCCGCCTCCTCCTTTGTTGCCACGTAAGACTCTTTCTCTCTTTTCGTTATCTTTCTCAGTTTTTTATTTTTTTCCAGATTTGTCCACCACCACCACCACCGTCGCCGCCTCTCTCACTTTCTTTCCTTCACCACCGCCACCATCGCCGTTGTCGTCGACTCCCCATGACTCTCTTTCGTTATTTTTCTATCTTTATTTATGTATTTTTCGATTTTTTTTCATAACTGGACTATAGTCATGTTTGAATATGACTATATTCATATTTATGTATTTTTTCGAATAAGATTGTAGTCATATTCGAATACGATTATTGTTGAATATGACTATAGTCATATTCAAATAACTAGATTCAAAATTGTTATTTTTTGTGTGAATTTTGATTGTATTGTTTTTGTAAACTATAGGGAATCTTCGTTGTTGTATATAATTTGGTAAACATGACTATACCACATTATATAATCGGAATTTTTAAGTTGAAAATGTAAAAAAATGCAATATAAAGAAAAAATATGTCTACATAGTCACATATAGTCATATTCAACTATAGTCATATTCGAAGTTGTAAATCTGCCAGGAAAAAAAATTCAATTTTTTGTTTAAAAAATTTTAAATTTAAAAAAAAAAAAATATCTTTATTAAAAAAAATATTAAAAAATAGAAATAAATGAAAAATGGCTAAAAAATCCGAAAATAATAAAAAATAAAAAAATAAAAAAAATTATTTGTTTTGATTTGGTAGCAAATTTTTAGGAATTTGGAAGGAGATTTTTAGGAATTTGGAAGGAGATTTTTAGGAATTAGATTATTGTTATGAAAAAAGAGAAAAAAAATGAATAATTGAGACTAATTATCCTAATTGACATAAGGGTAAAATTGAGAATATAAATAATAGGGGTTATCACAAAGAAAGATTTAAGGGATGGACATATCACCATTTATTATCTATATGGAGGTTTATTGCTAATAACCCCATATTTTTAATCTATTCATTTTTATAAATTAAATGTCAACTAATTCAATCAACCACTATATTACCTGTTATAGCAGGTCATATGACCAAAATTCTTAATTTCTGTAACTTATGAGTTTAAATTCTGATTTTAAAATATGGTGGACTACAACTCCAAACTATTAAGCTTAGGGAAAAAAAAAAACTTATTTTGTCGAAGTACGGACGTTGAGAAGGAAGATATTCTTGGGGGTAGATATGTCATTTAGCAGGCGATTTTCAGAAACATGTGGCTGCAGATTATTACGTGAAAAAATGGAAGAAAGTGAGCAAGTGTAGAAAGGAAGGGAGAGAGACCAAAATTTTATTCATTACTTGTATTTTACTGGATCAAATCATCAATCATTAATGTGGCAGCTGCTTTAGTCCCATAATTGTCTCGATTTTGGATTCGTTATCGAAAGGGGAATCCAACCGCAAGCTAGGGCAATAATTAGACTCTGTGTGCGTGTTGTGTGTTCTGGTGAGTCCTAAACTGAAATAGACTCATTGATGGCGCAATTCAGCCACAAGTACTCCCTCTTTGGTGGTGGTGGTAGTGGTAGCGATGGGTTGTTGGATGCAGTCCGTCGCCATCAAGCTGGATCGGGTTTATTAAGATTCACATACGCCGCCTCATCATCTTCAGTTCCACAATTGGCCTTAGGAGATCATCGAAAGCTCTGTTTCTCTGCTTCTTTTTCCCTGCATCCATCATCATCATCATCATTATCATCATCATCATCGTCGTCGTCGTCGTCGTCGTCTCTGAATAATAATTGGGATGGTGATGCTGCGTTTGACGAGATTTTTGATGAGCTTGCTGGATTCAGAGGTTTGGTTCTCGACATATCCTACAGGTCTCTGCCTCTACTCTATTCTTCTTTACCTTAACCATCCAAAAAAGAAAAAAAAAAACGGAAAAATCTTTGCTTTGCTTTTAGCAAATAAATTAAATAGCTGTCCTGTCAGACTACTTGTTTTGCTTTGCTCATTTCAAATAACAACTGATAAATGATAACTATAACTCAACTAATTAATTAGCTATATGCCTCTACTCATTCTTGACTAGTGACTACTGCTGTTGAATGTTGATACATTACTACTCTCTTAACTACTATACATATCGCTTAACCAATCAAACTTTGAACCTGGACACACATATTGACTTCAAAGTCGGCTAGTTTATATTAAGTTGCCTGCAGTTATATATTGGGGATGAACACATCCATATAATTAGCTTTTAATTTGAAAATTTAAGCTAAGATAAAAACTTACAAACATAAGGGGGATAAATCGAACATGAGGAATGGGGGTAAACATCCTTCCACCACCATATCTTTCGTGATTGTAAACAGTGATTACTGTACTATGCTATATGCTTGCTTGTATGAATTTTTACTTATATTAATTGTTATGATGTGCAATAATTGCAAATGGTTATATATTGTATTTTCCTGTGCTTAATTGTGTTCCTACCTACTGCATCTCAGTGATACAAAGAGATTTCAATAAGCCTTATCTATGAATTTTAACTTGTATTCATTTTGCTATTTATTTTTCTCTCGTCTTTTTTTTTTCCTTTTCTTCTCATTTTTTGGCCTCCACTATCATGCGTTACTTTTACTTTGCAAATACTGGGTGGATTCATGTTGTGTTAATGAAAATAATGTGAGTAAAATGTCTGCCATGTTAGGCCTGTTAACGTTGTGTGTTGGAAACGCGCCATATGTTTGGAGTTCATGGATAAGGTCAGATTACTTCTTGGTTTCTTATTGTTAATCACTACTTTTTGTTAAGCCCTATTACAACCATGCATATATGACAAGAAAAGATAGAAGATGAAAAGAACTGGCCCTCTTGCTGCCGTGCTGAAATTTAATTCTCAGTTTTCATTTTTAAGTCCCATGCACATTTCCATTTTCATTTCCATCTATATATAAGTTAATGTCTCACATTATCATATAACTTTTTGCTTTCATTCTTTCCTTGTAAATTGCAGGCTGACGTTTTAGAATATTATGACCAAATTATAAACTCTCCTAGTGGTTCATTCTATATTCCTGCTGTCTTGAGGGTATGATATAATGTTGTCTTTACTTGCTATTTCATTTGCTCCTCTAGTACTAGATTGAGGTAAGCATAATTAACCCCTTTTAATTATGCACCCATTACACTAATCAGTTGTGTATCAACTTTGCCAGGTTCCACATTTACTACAAGTTGTGAAACGAAGGAAAGTGAAAAGAGGCCTCAGTCGTAAAAATATTTTTCAACGTGACAATTTCACGTGTCAGTGAGTTCTTACAACATGATCTACATACCATTGCACCTTTAGGCCTTGATTATTGTTGTTTATGATGATATGTCCTGATGCCGAAGTGTTTCAAAAGAAAAGTATATGCCTTTGATATATGTGTGTGTGTGTATATCTATAGATAGATAGATATAGATTTAATTGCTAGCTACGAGCTGTTATTTTTCGACATCTTATAAGTAACCTTTTGGTATAATGTTCTAAATCAATATATATTTTATGACTTGAAAATCTTTTGATCATCTTCGAGCACTACGCAGTCCTGTTATAAGTTGACTTGTTATCCACATGTATATATATACATATACTTGACAGATACTGTTACTCAATTGAGAACTTGACCATTGATCATGTTCTGCCAATCGCACGAGGGGGACAATGGACCTGGGAAAACCTGGTACGATAACCCAAATATATAGTATGCACATAATTCTTATTTCATGACAAGCTTCTAATACTTGAGAAAGAAAATGTTCCGAGCATGATATTTTCTTAACCATGTGGGTGGAGCTTGGGTTAAGTAATTCTAGGAAAAGCCATGTATGAGGGGGAAAAGAAAATATTATTCTCTGATGTAGTCTCACTTTTCATGTATATACTTTGACACAGGTTGCTGCATGTGCTAAATGCAACTCAAAGAAAGGTCAAAAAACCTTAGAGGAGGCAAATATGAAATTGATCAAAGTCCCTAAGGTAATTTAACAGTTAACATACATTTATCTATATTTGCAATTCAAATGAGCAGAAAATACTTGCATATTAATCTTGACAACTCCGTTTTCAATGATTTATTGCAGGCCCTAAAAGACTATGACATACTTGCAATACCCCTAACAAACCATGCAATAAAGATGCTGAAAATGCGCAATGGGATGCCAGAGGAATGGCGGCAGTACCTCTCAAAGCCATATGCTGCCCCGTGATATTGGATCCTTGTTTGACTATTCTTAACAATTTATGTTCATAAAATATTGCATGTATAATATGTACATATGTATATATCTACTTAAATGACCAGCTATTCCATCCTTAGTAAGATCGATCGATCGAGGATGAAGTATGTGTTTTTGGTTTAGTGCGTGGTTTTTTTCGGGTATTTTTTTTCAATGGGTGTTTTGGTGTAGTGCGTGTTTCTTTGAAGTGCGTGTGTTTGGTGTAGTGTGTGGTTTTTTTCGCTTTGAACTACTCAAGAACTACACAAGAAAATACATACTGGAAAAAAATCCACGCAGTACAGTATAAACACATACTGAAGAAAAAACACGCACCACACCAGAAACACTCACTGGAAAAAATACCCGCTGCACCAAAAAAATACATTGAAAAATAAAATACGCACTACATTGAAAACACACATTAAATTACACAACAAATACATTGGAAAACACTCACTAGAAAAAAAATCACGCAGTACATAAAAAACACACACTGAAAAAAAAACTCGCACTACAGCGTAAACACTCACTTAGAAAAGAAACACACTACACAAAAAACACACAATGAAAAATAAAACATGCACAACAATGAAAAAACACAATGAATTACTGAATAATTACAACAAGAAATAAACACTCGAAAAAAAAACCACACACTAAACAAAAAACACATACTTAAAAAAAACAAGCACTTCACCAAAACACACGTTGAGTAAAATGCACTACACCGTGAAACACACTGGAAACTGAGTGTACTTCTTGTGTAATTGAGTGTGCGTTTTTTATGTAGTCTGTGTGTTACACAACAAGAACACTCAATTTGCAGTGTGTGTTTCACGGTGTAGTGCATTTTATTCAATGTGTGTGAAACACGTGAATTAATTTCACAATGTGTTTTTAACTTTTCTTAACTTCTAAACTAAATCTTAGTTAGTGGGCTTAGTAGGGTTAAGTAGTGCTTAGTGGATTTAATTATGGGATTTATCTTAAGTTCCTAACTAACCCACTAACCCATTATCTTGAGTGCTCTTGTGGTTGGTTTTCTTGCAGATCATGGGCTGAAGAGTGGAAGCTTGGCAAGTCTATAAATACCAAACTCAAGACTCAAGATTAGAGTAGATTTCGAGAAAACAAAATAGAGAGCTGAAGTTTTAATCTCGAGAATTTTAGTGTGTTTTCTAGGATCTGTTGTACGTACTATTTATAAGTACATTCTTTGAAATCTAGAATTTTTGATATCTTTCTTTTAGTATCTAGATTTGGTTGTAAGAGTGATCTTGAAAAAGATTCACTCATAAGGAAGAAGTTTTCGCACTCTTCTGTTTGTATTCTTGGAATACTGATTTTAATATATTTTCCGTCCTGTAAAGGGCAAGTTCACAAGTCTTTACTTGTGAACATTTTTAATTCTGAGTATTGTTCTTTTGTCTTTATATTTCCGCTGCATGTTTGTTCAAGTGTCATAACACCTTCAACAACACCTCTGTATTAAACGAATTCGGGACCATAAATTCTTTCAATTGGCATCAAGAGCCAACACTTGACGTATACTAAGTGTTTGTTCCTATTTTTTTTACAGAAACGAATTCGTGATGGATACTCAGATGACTGCTTCTATGCGACCTCCTGTACTTGATGGCACGAACTACACCTACTGGAAAGTCAAGATGAGGGCGTACATCAAAGCCATTGATGAGAGAGCATGGAGATCTATTCTCACTGGATGGAAGCCACCAACTATCACAGATGTGGACGGAGATGTTTTTCCAACTCCAGAATTACGGTGGACACCAGACGATCTATCAAATGCTAATCAAAACTCAAAGGCGTTAAATGCAATTTTCAATTCAGTAGATTTAACAATGTTTAAATTAATCTCTGTATGCACTTCTGCAAAGGATGCTTGGGAAATTCTCCAGCTACATTGCGAGGGATCAGATAGTGTCAAAAGAACCAAGCTCAGATTACTCTCTTCCAAATTTGAGAGACTGAGAATGGAGGAAACTGAAACAATTTCTCAGTACAATGAGAAGCTGATTGACTTGGCTAATGAATTTCAATCCTTAGGTGGTCCTTTGAGCAACGAGACACTAGTGAATAAGGTATTGAGAACTCTTCCAGAAAGGTTCAGCATGACGGTTACTGCTATTGAGGAGGCTAAAGATACATCATCTCTACGGCTGGACGAATTAATAGGAAGTCTCAAGTCCAGAGAGATGAACTTCGAAGATCAAAGAAAGGAGAAAGGAAAGGCTATCTCAAATGCACTCCAGGCAGAATTAGAGAAGAAAGATGTTGCTCCGGAATATGATGATGATGCAGAAGAATGCCTCAATAATGTGGCATTTCAGATTCAGAAATTCAACAGGGCGTTCAGGCGAAGTGGAATCAAGCCCAGGCAGTTATTCTCAGAAGGGTCTCCACAAAATCGACAAACTCAGCCCCGGAACAGATCTATTCCACAGAGAACATTTCCTCAAACACCTTCTCAAAACAATTTAAAAAATTCTTCTTTTATTCGTTCAAATTCTGAACAACCTAACTTGGATCATATTAAATGCAGGGCCTGTTCAGGATTTGGACATTATGCTAATGAATGTGCAAATACCTTGAGAAGGAGAGGAATGAGTTTGATTTGTGCTGTCAGTGATGAGGAGGAAGAACAACCTGAACAGACAGAGGAACAGCAATCCTCTAAACAAGCTCTTTCTGTCAGATATCTTACTGGAAGTTCCACTGAAACAGAATCCCAAAGAGTCTCCCTGGATGCTGCAACACTTTCTGAAACACTTTCAATTTGTGAGTTAAATACTGATCAATATACATGTTTAAACTCTATTTCTGTGAATGCAGCAGAATCCAGTAATGAAGCAGTCAGTGATGATGAAGAAATGTGTAAAAAGCTGATCAGAAACTTGGAGAATAAGACTCAAGCTCTAGATGCAGCCAACAAAGAAAATTCCTCCCTCAAAGAAACAATCACACATTTGGAGGTTGGAATCACCAAGAAGGATCTTGAACTGGCAAAAGTGAAAGAAGAACTCAAAAAGGCAACTCTAGCAATCAAGAGGATGAACACTGGCACAACTAAGCTCGAAGAGATGGTGTCAATGGAAAAGCACTACAAACATGAAGGGCTAGGGTTCAAAAAACAAATGAAGCCAGCTAAGAAGAAAGAAGTTGTCTTTGTAAAAGAGAAGGGTGCAAACAGAAAGGATTGCAGGAAGTCCACAGTCACCACTCCAGATTCCAGAATAAGAGGTTATGTTTGTCATTACTGTTTCTCACCAGGACACATTCGTCCATTTTGTGAAAAACTCAGCAGTGACAAAATGTTGTATAAAATAAGCCACAACACTTCAAGGAACACTTCAAAGAAAAAGGTAGAATCTACCAAAAAGGAGTGTAAAATATGGACTCCCAAAGGTAAATTTTTGTGCAAAGCAGTATACACCTCTTTAAATGCTAACATTTCAGGTTCATGGTACTTTGATAGTGGATGCTCCAGGCACATGACTGGAACAAAGGAATTTCTATCAAACTACCACACACTTAATGGAGGACGTGTAACCTATGGAGGAGGAGCTAAAGGCAAAGTGGTTGGACGTGGAACACTCAGTATTGAGGGGCTTCCAAAACTCTCAAATGTTTTACATGTTGAAGGATTGGGGTCAAATCTCATTAGTATCAGTCAATTGTGTGATGATGATCTACGTGTAGAATTTGATAAATACTGTTGTTCTGTGTTTGATAATCAAAATCATTGTGTACTTACAGGTTCCAGATCAATGGATAATTGCTATCAAACAGGTGACACCATCTCATGCAAGAGTTCAAGAGTAAGTGAAGTAGAGCTGTGGCACCAGAAACTAGGACATACAAACTTCAAGAATCTGAAGCTTCTCAACAAGTACAATGCCATAAGAGGAGTACCAGATCTCAAGATCAAGGATATTCCTATATGTGGAATGTGCCAGAAGGGAAAGCAAACCAGAGTACCACACAAAGTGTTGCAACACGTTGGTACCACTATTTGTTTTGAACTTGTACATATGGATCTTATGGGTCCTATAGAGGTAGAAAGTCTAGGTGGTAAAAAATATGTCTTTGTATGTGTTGATGATTTTTCAAGATATACTTGGGTGTATTTTTTGAGAGAAAAATCAGACACCTTTGAAGTATTCAAAAATTTGTACAAGTTTGTTAGAACTCAATTTCAAGTTTCTGTTCGTAGAATAAGATCTGATCATGGAAAAGAATTTGAGAATGCTTTATTTTTTGCTTTTTGTAATAAAAAGGGAATAAAGCATGAATTTTCTGCTCCAAAAACTCCTCAGCAAAATGGCATTGCTGAAAGGAAAAACAGAACTATTCAGGAAATGGCTAGGGTGATGATGAGTGCAAAAAATTTGTCTAAAAGGTTTTGGGCTGAGGCTGTCAACACAGCCTGTCACATCTCAAACCGTGTGTATCTAAGATTAGGATCTATGATGACTTCATATGAAATTCTTTATGGTAAGAAACCTAATCTAGAATACATGCATGTGTTTGGGTGTGTCTGCTATGTTCTAAATGATAGAGATCATCTAGCTAAATTTGATTCAAAAAGTGATTTGAGCTTGTTTATGGGATACTCTAATAACAGTCATGCTTATAGAGTATACAATCTAAGAACTCGAACCATTATTGAATCTGTAAATGTGGTATTTGATGACTTTGCTGATCTCCGCAGTAAAACAGCTGAAGATGAAGTTGATGACTTGATTGCTGAAAGGGAAACAACAGAAGAAGACACTTCTGCCACAGAAAGCCCAGACACAAACAGTCCAGTCTTAAGAGAAGAAGGTGCTGAACCAAGTGTCACCACATCTGACTCAACACATCCTACAGAGACTGAGTTGCAACCAACCCTAGATGTCTGCAGAAAGGAACCATCAAGCAGAATCCAGAAAAATCACCCATCAACTCAAGTAGTGGGTGATATCTTTGGTGGAATAAGAACCAGAAGAAAAGAGAGAGTGAACTACAGAGATATGGTAAGATTTGCTAATTTATCTTCTGAATGTGCACTAACTGGAACCACTTGTTTTGTGTCTTCAGTGGAACCTAGGAATATTGCAGAAGCTCTGAAGGATGAATTCTGGGTAAATGCAATGCATGAAGAATTGAATC